GAGAGAGAGAGAGAGAGAGAGAGAGAGAGAGAGAGAGAAGGCATATCCAGATCATTATCAATTAGGAGGAAAAAAAGCTCTCATTTTATTTAAATTAAAAAATATGACAGGTAGAAACATTACCAGAGGAGGTCACTCCCACTGATGAAGATACATCTGTATATAAACCCAGAAAAAAAAATGGGAAGCTTTAAAATTAATGTCTTGGGCTGGAAGGATGGCTCAGCTGGAGAACCTGAGCTCAATTCCCAGGAGTTATGTAAAAATGCTCGAGTTCTGGTGTGTGTTTGTAATCTCAGCCCTGGGGAGGCACAGACATGGAGACCCATACAGCTTACTGGCCAGTCATTCAGTCTAATTAGCGAGCTCCAGGCTAACGAAGACTCCATCTTAAAGGAAGTGGATGATATTCTAAGAGTATCACACAAGGTCCTTGTCTCGTCTCCACATACAAGAGCATCTATGTGTACACACGCACCTCACATATGAACACACACAAACACACACATATGCTCAGAAGAAATGAGTCTTCCATTGATCTTTACTTTGTAGTCAATGTGATCCTTTAGTAGATTCATTTTCTAAATACACAACAAATGAGATTACTATCTCAATACTTAAATAGCACCATAGGAGACTTTACCAGTTGAAGAAGTCATTTTTGCTGACCTTGAAGACACACATATGAATGAAAAATAGAAGAAACATATCTAGGGTCAGTTGCAAAATAGAAAGAAAAAAAGAAATGTGACAGTCAAAAAAAAAACATTACCTGAGGATGTTTCCTCTCCCTCTGAGGCTGAAGATGAATCTGTGTACAAACCCAGAGACAGGATGCTTTAACATGAGTGTCTTTTCATTGATCCTTGCTTTGCAGCCAATATGATCATTGAATGGATTAATTTTCTAATATGACGTAGCAAGTAAGGAATCGTTCTCTATTTAGAAGACACCACACACTTTGCTTATTGGGTATACAGAAATCGAGGTGGGACTGAGCTGTAAGCTTCCTTCTTCCTGGCCACCTTTCACAGGATTGGATGGCATTATTCAGGCTGTTGGGGAAGCGCTGTCATCCACAGTCTTACCCTCTGTGAATTCTGCATGTTACACTGTTGATTTGCCAGGCAAGGTGCACCCTTTGGTGTAAGAGTGGCGTGACTGTTGTGGGTGTAACCAGCTTACTTCTGCTTGGATTTGAGGCGACTCCCCAGGAGTCCGGTACTGTAAACCTGCTCAAAAGCTCATGGTATAGGATTCGGAAGCTCGAGTGGGAAAGCTACTGTTGTTGTTTTGCCAAGTGGAGTTGCTATGGCTGTCTAGTTGACATCTAAATTGTTATGTTTATGCCCATAAGCTGGTTCTGGTTTCTGCTTTGGTCAGAGAAGCTTCTTTTTGCAGAGACTCATAACTCCTCAGACTGCTAATAACAACTGACTTAAATGCTCAGCCCAAAGTGTGACTAATTTATTCCCTCCAACACCAGGGAACACTGTTGAAGAGGAGTCGGGCTGATCTTGAGTTTTATTGAACTTTGTGGATAGTTACAACCACTCAGACTGCATACAATGAAGAAATGGGAAACTTCAAAACCAAAACAGAATGCAAGTGCCAGAGAAAGGCTCACAGTGATTTGGCATGCCATCTTCTGGGCATGGTATCTTCATGGCTTTCTCACAACTCCAACAAGCATGACTATCTGCCCCAAGACCTGCACAACATTGAGCCCACCACTATTCTGCCATGGAGAGTGGCCAGTTAGGAGGCCCTTCCTTTCTCTAAGTTATAGGCAATAGCTGATGACTAGGGGAGGGAGAGACATTTTCTTCAGTGGTCTGACCACTGCTCCTGCAAATAACCCTTCTCTACGCCCCTGTAAGTACCCCAATTCACACTCACTAGTTCACACATGCGCAAAACAAGTAGAGGTAGAGGGGGAGATCAGCTGAAGTGTGGGGGGTGCAAGAGAGGGTAGTGGGGTAAACATGATAGAAATACAGTATGCACATATGTATTAAAGGTCAAAATGAAGCCCTTAGTATATATAATTTAAACATGCTAATAAACACCTTTAAAAACAAACACATCTCCCTGGTTAATCAACGTGGTGGGGGACTTTATCAGTCGGAGAGGCTGCTTCTGCTGACAATGAAGTAGTGTCAATAAACAAAGACAAGAAGAAATTGACTTACAGCCACCCTCCAAACAGAAAGACTAAAAACGCTGAGATATTTAACTTCAGAAATAGAAGCTGAAAATATTACCAGAGGGTGTCTCCTCTTCTGCTGAGACCAAAGCTGCATCTGTGGAGAACCCCAGAGAACAGGGCTTATTGTCCTGCTTTAAAATGGGCAGGACAGTGCTGGCTCTGTCTTGTCATGGGTCTTTACTTTGTGGCCATCTTCTAAATACAACATGACAAGTGAGAAACAATACCATTGGGGGCCTGTACCTCTCAGAGGGCTGGATTCTGTTGAGGTTGACGATATGTCTGCAGACAAAGAGGAAGAGGCATGCTTGCTTCATTTGCTTCAAAGACAGGGGGAAATGTTTTATAGGAAAAAAACCTATGACAATCAGAAAACATTACCAGAGGAGGCCTCCTCTTCTGCTGAAATTAAAGACATGTCTGTATGTAAACCTAGGGACCAGGAGATTGTAGCCTGAGTGTTTGGGCTGGAGAAACAACTCGGTAGGCATGGGAGCCCCCAGAGGCTATCTAGTGAGAACTTACTCAGGGTCAAAGAATCTGAGCTGGCTTTACCCAGCAGGGCTGCATAAGGAGACGATTTGGCCATGGCCATGGTTACCAGGCGATTGGAAGAGTCTACATTTGGCTGTGCGATGTGCTTTGATCTAGCAAGGGGGAGATCTTTTGCCCCTTGGCATATTATAAAAACCTCTTTTGAATAAATGAAAAACACTGTTGGGTATTGATCCAGGCCCTCCCAAAGCTATCCTGTGTTTCTGTCTTTCTCCTCACTATCTAGGTCTCTCTAGCTGATATTTCCTTATTCCTCTCTCCTCCATCTAAGAACCCTTCAAAAAAATAGGAGCTGGACTCCCACAAGTCGGCAAAGAAGTTGCCTTGTAAGCATAAGAACCGGGATTTGATTATTCCTAGAACCCACATAAAATGCCAGGCATGCTGGTATGCACTTCTAAGCCCAGCCCTGGGAGGCGAAGACAGGAGGATCTCCAGGGCTCTCTGGCCAGCCAGGGTAGTCTGATTGGTAAAGTCCAAGCCAAGGAGAGACTCTGTAAGGAAGTGGTTGACATTTCTGAGGAAGACATCTGAGATTGTTCTGTGGTCTATACACATGTGCACATGTGTGCCATACACATGAACACACACTTCGGCATATGCTTGCATACATACACATATGAAATGAATGCCCTTTCATTGATCTTTGTTATTCTCGTATGATCATTGGACAGGTTCCCCCCCCCTTTGTTTTTTTGAGACAGGGTTTCTCTGTGTAGTTTTTGGTGCCTGTCCTGGATCTTGCTCTGTAGACCAGGCTGTCCTCGAACTCACAGAGATCCCACTGGCTCTGCCTCCCAAGTGCTGGGATTAAAGGCATGTGCCACCATGTGCCCGGCAGGTTCTCTTTCTAAATACTACACAACAAATGAGCAACCCATCTCACTAGATTACACAGCACAACGGAGCCGGGATGCCCCGCTGGCACTGGTGGATGTCAAAGAGACTCAGTGATGGAAATAGATGTTTATCTAAGCAACTATCCCAGAACCAAAAAGAACATTCAAATTACCAGTTGGAGGGATTATAAATGGAGTAGTTGCCGAAGAGCCTGCAAATAAGAAAAGGTAAATGATCAAATACTGTAAGTACCAAAAAATAGAACACTGACACCTGGCTTTCATTTATTTAATTAACTTTTCTTGATTGCCTGCTCCTCTGTGCCAGCACTGGGCTGGGGCTGGAGAGAAAGTCAACAAAGCTACATTATGACTCGAGTCCTCAGAAAGAGGCCCGTCTCGTGGGAAGATAGACAAGATCAAACATTTCATAAGGAGTTGTAAAATTGCAGTGAGGGCGGTGTGTGTGTGTGTGTGTGTGTGTGTGTGTGTGTGTGTGTGTGTGTGTTGTGGCATGGTATGTGTACGTAGTGTGGTGTGGTGTATGTGGTATGGTGTGGTTGTGTGTGTGGTATGGTTGTGTGTGTATAGTGTGTCTATGTGTATGTTGTGTGGTGTGTGTGGTTGTGTGTGTGTATAGTGTGTTGTGTGTGTATGGTGTGTGTGTCTGTATGTGTGTACAGTGTGTGTGTTGTCAGAAGCTCTGACCTGGCCAAGGAGCTCCCCTCTCTCTACGAATCCCCCCTTCACCCTGTCCCCACTGCTGGGTCTGGTTCGATGAGGCAGTCTGCTCAAAGACAACCACTCTCAGGCCTTCTGTTCATTTCAGCCCCGGGTCATGGCAAACACCTGCCGTTCTACCTGTGCACCGTGGTGGGCAGAGGCCATTATCACGGGAAGGAGTTACTTCTCCTGGAGTGGGAGCGAGGTCTGATACAAAACACAAGTGCGAATGTTAGTCAACTGATCCGAAGTTTTCATTCATTTTCTGGTTACTTGTTATTGGGAAAACTGGTAAGAGGGGTAGTTATTCCACATCTTTCTGAGTAAGGATTTCAACATCCAGATTCAAAGCACACACCCTGTGATACTATGAATTAAATCTTTCCTGAGATGAAACCTGCTACTTGCATGATCCAGACCCATTGGGAAGAAAATTACTGTTTGTATTAGGATACAGTACAGAGGTATCTCAAAGGACGTTGGGGTAAATGGGCAGTTTTGCTCCATATGACTATTGTAGCATCTACTAGCATCCCTGCCATTGCCAATAATGGGACTAGCCCTCCCAGTCCTTATACCCCCACCTCCAACCTATTTTTTTCCTATTGTATAGTCAGTAACTCAGCCAGAAAGCCAAGTGCTAAGGGTATTCAAAAAGCAACAACACACTGGCAGGCCAGGAGAGAGGCTTTGTGGAATGCCCAGAATGTATGCAAGCACTGGACTTGAACTTGGTCTTGACTTGGCTGTAGAGAGGCTCTCTTGGTATACTTCTGGGATCTTGTCTTTTCTTGAGATATTCATTCAGCCAAGTGACTCTTGGAGAACCAGGGGTCAAACTGTACTAGCTTGATAGAATTTCAACATCATATTATCACCGATAGAAAGTGAGTAGGAAAATGAGCAGAAAGCTTACCAGTTGCAAGGACAGAAGCTGCAGCTGGGCTTGAGGTAGAAACTGGTGAAACAAACAGGGTAAGAAAATTGTAATTAAATGTCATCCTTGTCAATCAATTCTGCTTGTAAAAGTGAATGACTCCATACACAAATGTGTCCTAACATATTCAGTTCTACTTTGCTCCTATGAGAGTCCCCTAGTCTCTGCTTCATAAAGTTAAAGGAAATGAACAGTAGCAAGGTGGTACACGTGGCTGGAGCCAAGAGACTGGCTCCTAGTGTCTGTGTAACAGAGTGTGTGACCCTGGTTGAGTCCTGAATCTCCAAACTTCAGCCCCTGCATGGGAAGGTCTACCGTGCGGATCAGCCATGTCTGTGACCTGCTTTTAGAAATACAGATTCCTGGGGCTGAAGAGGTGGTTCAGTTGTTAAGAGCACTTACTGATCTTGGAGATGACCTGGGTTTGGTTCCCAGCACCTAAATGGTGGCTCACAAACATCTGTAACTCCGTGTCTGGGAAATCTTACGTTCTCTTGTGATTTCTGCTAGCACCAGGCACACACATGGTGCATATGCATGGATGCAGGTGAAACATTCATGCACATAAAACAAAAAGAAGAAAAAGGAATGTAGACTCTTGGATGCAAATCAGCATTTTAACAGAATCCCCAGCAAGTTTTGTGCACTTCAGACTCGGGGAGACATGAAAAAGGAGGTGACTGCAGACCTGGACACACATGGTAGGGTCAGGAGCAAATGGGAAAGCCTGTGCTCATATGCAGGACAATCCTCTCTGCTCAGCCTCAGCCAATTGCTGCCCCAGTGAAATTCACATTACCATTGGGCACTTTGAGGTTTTTTTTTTCCTTTGGCCCAAACTAGAAATCTTGGTCTAGAGGTGTAGCTTGGGGGCAAATAACTTCTACGAGACCCTGTATTTGTATATACTTGTATTTGACCCCTAGCATGGGGGAGAAGACAGATAGATGTGTGGATTTTGATATAATAGCCTCTGTTTTTAAAAAGTGGAGCTAATAAAGAATGAAGTGGCTTCATTTGCAGGAAAATGGGTGCAAGGGGGAAGATCCCATCTCAAGAAGACAGACAAGATCATGTTTTCCTTCGTTTATGGTTTGTGGATTTTTATACAAATGCATAATGTCATGTGTGTTTGAATGGTATGAAGGCAGAAACAAAGCTGTCCAGGGGATGAAAAGGGCTGATGGGAATAAAAGAAGGGAGTAAGAAAAGGGAGACTGGACAGCAGGAGAGGGGATGCGTTTACACATCACATATATGTGTGTGGAAATGTCTTTATGTAACACATAATCATGTACAATGAAGATATACAATGAGAACTATACACAAATTTGAAAAGGAAAAAAATGTGGAGCTAAAGATAACTTCAACACTCATATGCGAAGCTGAGTGACCTGAATTTCAACTCTTAAGTGGGCAGTGGGCTCATGTGTTCCCCACTTGGGGCTTCTGGTCTTTGGTCTCTGAAGTTTCTTTCAGCCCTTGTAAAGTACTGAGCCGCAATGGCACCACCCCTAATTTGTCCTGGCCTGGAACCCTTGGGCACATCTCACAGGTCCAACACAAAGAAAGAACTGGTTTCATTGTGTGATTTTCTTTCAAGGTTAATTTTTACCAAGCCTGGAAGATGCCTTTGTGATTTTGGAAATACGGATGACAGGCCATTTTCCTAACAGTTTACAGTTCAGAGGGAACTCAGGTGGTATTTCTCCAACCTATTTAAGTGTATGCTCATCAACATGAGCTCTTGAATGAGCTCCAGAGTGTTATGTAGAAGGAAATTTACAACAGGGTATAAGGAGAGAGGGACTTACATCCGGGAAACCATAGACTCTGCAGACAGCAGCATACATGTCCATGAGGAGCTCCCATCACTGAACAACACAGACCACTAAGTCCCCAGGACACAGCTCTGAGGTGACTCTATCCCCATGTTCTACAGATGAAGGGGTAGCAACTCTGAGCAGTAAGGGGTCCTGCAAACCATCATCCAGTGGTTAATGCTGGACCCAGAGCATAACACTGGGTTCTCTGGCCCTGCATCCCAGGGTACAGAATGATTACCCAAGAGTTTTCCTTTTCAGTCAAAGAAATCTGAGCAGAATTGGGTTCAACCAAAAAATTTAAAGCTCTGTTATGATACAGCCTTTGAGAAAACTGAATATATTAGTAGACTGTATTTAAAAGAGGGATTTGTTATTTCTCCAACACATCCAGCCATGGTATTCCTTCCTTCTCGTTTCCACATCACTGAATTGGTGTCTGGTCCTGTGAGACACACTCGAAGCATGTGTCTCTGCATTGTTTTATGAAAATGTAGATCAGAGTTTTGTCTGAGATGTCTGAAGTCTTATGATGGTTATTAAAGAATAAAAGCTAGTTGGAGACCCTATGTATCAACCCTGATGAGAACATGAGTGAAGCCACACCATGGTAGCTTTATCTCAGACACCAGACATCGTGTCAAAAATGAAGGGAACAGGATGGAGAGATGGCTCAGTTGGTAAGTGTTCGCCATGTAGGCATGAGGACCTAGGTTTGGATTCCAGCACAAATCTGAGAGCTGGTTCTGGGGAGGCTGAGGCAGGCAGGTTTCTGGAGCTCACTGGCCAGCCAGTTTGGTTCAGTGAGAGACCTTGCCTCAAAAACAAAAGAGAGTGATTGAAGACACTGATGTCCACCTCTGGACTCCACGTGCACAGGTATACATATGCACTCCCCCCCACACACACACGTGCATGTTCACACACACATGGGGAAGGGAACAAAGTATACATACTATATTGTAATTGAGGAAAGCACCCCAGTTTACTCCTTCAGTCAACAAATGAAGGAACACCCTATGTCACTTTGATACAAATTTAGGGCACGATTTCTCTTTCACATATAACCCTCTAAGAGACAGTGTCTCCTGTAGCTCAAATTGTCCTCAAATTCAGTTGTAGCTGAGGAACTTCTGATGCTCCTGCCTCTACCTCCTAGGTGTTGGGCTTACAGGTGTGTGTGATTCCAAGCCCCTAGTTATGCTAGGGTCAAATCCAGGACTTTGTACTTGTCAGGCAAGCACCTTGCCAAGTGAGTGCATCCCAGCCACAGCGAGTCATTTCATATGATATACAAACTGGAAGCCTAATCACACAGGTAAGGCAATCTACACATTAGAGAAAACAGTAAAGAAAGAAATATTACCGGGTGACGTTGTCATTTCTGTGGCTGATGCTGAAATGGCAAAGCAGACAAAAACTTAGGAGGTCATTTTTATTAAAAAAGCTGGTACATGAGATACATTAAAATCCCATACAGATGGCTTCTGGAATGTGGAACTAAACCAAAAGACAGAGTTTGTTGTTTTGTTTTCATTTTTTTGTTCTTTACTGTTTTTTTTTTTTATTTTTTTGCTGAGACTGAAATAAAAATGGGCTGTATGAAGACAGGAAGCTAGAAATGTTCACTGGCTACGGACAGTTTGTTCCTCTAGGTAAGGTCAGAAAGGCTACTTCTCTGGTGCAATGAAGAGGATGTGTTTTTCAGGGTGGCAAATTACTAGGCGCCTTCCTCATTCAATCCTTAGACTGATAATGCTGACTTCTCATTTACACCAAACTAGGGTTGTAACACAATGCTGAGTTGTCTGAACACTGGATGAAAAAAAAAATCCTTACAATAATAAATCATATTATCACCCTAGATTTGTTCTTCATTCAAATTTGTTCAGATTCTATCATAGTTAACTGCCTAACTGATTGCAGCCCTCCTTACGAATGCTCTTTTGTTCAGTAACTGCATCATCAGCACCTAGAAAGCTCTGCCTGGTTCACAGAGAGTGCTCAAGGAATACATATTAAACAAGCAGTCAACACAGAGACTCTTAACTGGTCTGGGTGCTGAGGATAAGTGGTTATTAAGTTCTCAGCTCTAAACTAGACATCTATACCAACCCCCTCAAGGCTCAGGTAATGATGAGGAAGTGGGGGGCAGAAAGGATGTAAGGGCTGGAGGATGGAGGGGGTGCCGTGTCTTCTAGGCATGATATGGCTGTTGTCCCTATGACTCACTGCAGTTACGAATATCTGCACAAGATGAAGCCAGCAACATCAGTCAATGCACCATGAGACAGATTAACCGGATTTAGTAGGTTACAGAAAAAGAAAGCAGAAAGAACAGGACATGAAAGGAGGGAGGGGACATGTTGGGTGGGATCCAGGTATCCAGGGAAAGTAGGAAGAGGAAATTGGGGATTGATCAAGATACACTGATTGAAATTGCCAAAGAATAAGTAAAGTTTAAAAAGAAATATAAATTAAGTAAACAGATGAATGGCTTCAATTCTCTTATCCTAGTCTCTGCCCTATTTAAGAGATGCTTGGCCACGGTTATTTTCTTCTCTATTTTACTGTCTGTTGGGGTGGAGCAAAAGAAAACATAATGCATCAACCTTGCTGAATTAAACAAAGTCAGACGGACAGACAGGAAGAAAGAAAGGAAGGAAGGAAGGAAGGAAGAAAGGAAGGAAGGAAGGAAGGAAGGAAGGAAGGAAGGAAGGAAGGAAGGAAGGGAAGGAGGAAGAAAGAAAGAAAGAAAGAAAGAAAGAAAGAAAGAAAGAAAGAAAGAAAGAAAGAAAGAAAGAAAGAAAGAAAGAAGAAAGGAGAAAGGAGAAGGAAGAAAGAAAGACACAGGAAGACAGACAGCAGGAAACCATCCCAAGTGAGAGGCCAAAAAGAAACAGTTTAAACTAAGCAAGAGAAACTGGATTGTGTTCATAGAATTCTTAAGACCAACACTAAAAGTCAGCTCCAGAGCTCAGAGCAGACAACCTAAGGAAAACGCCATTACTGCAGTGGTTAGTGGACCGAGCACCTGGAGAGCCCTTAAAGACAGTCCAGTCCGCAGGCTCTAAGGGGAGCTCATGGGTGTTGAGTCAATCAGGGCACAGTGAGGGAGGCCAGGAGTGATGGGGGGCTCCCAGAAGCAAGCGCAGGGCAGACAGTGGGGCTGCACATTATGTACTACTGCCCCAGAAAGCCTCAGAACATTGAGACAGGGCCTTGGGCATGATTAGTAGACCCCAACGGGATCCAACTATCCCCATGTTAATTTCCAGGACCCTCACCAAGAATCATTGACAAAGCCAGCAGCAGGTACCTGAGCAGATGACACTGGCGTCTTCATGGTGGCCACAGTTGTGGACAGACAAGCCTTGGTGGTGGCACTGGCTTAGCGAGGTCTCACTGCCCTGGCACTGCACGTCGTCCAGGAAGATGCTCCCCACGCCCTCTCCAAAGCGGCTACTCCCAATGGCGCTGACACCCTCCCCACAGTCCAGCTGCCGGCATACCACATGGGCATCCTCGATTCCCCAAAGGTCATCGCAAACAGTGCCCCATGTGCCATTGTGGTGGACTTCCACTCTCCCTTCACACCGGTTCTTTCCATCCACCAACCTGATCGTGAGCTGCCCTGGGGAAGACTCAGAGGTTAGTCCTGGAGTGGCATGGGTATCATGGAGGGCTTTTCTTTAGTTCTGGATACAATCCCTCTAAACCTCAGAACTGTAGGAACTCTGGCCTCCTGCCTCCAGGCCCCACACGACTACCCTGAATTAATGATTCTAAATGCAGGGACTTGCTTTCCCTGGCTAATTCTGATTTCTTATCTTCAGACTAAAAATATGTTAAAGTTATTGCAATGATAATCATATCCTTGGATCCAAACCACCAAATCCATAGGCATTGGTGTTAAATATGTCAAACTCGTTCCACCCCTCCCCCCTTTTCTTGTCCCTGGGTGCAATTTCAAAGTTAAAATCCTCTAAGAAGCAGAGGGAAGGCATGCAGACAGTCTGTATGAATAGCCTCCCCTGGTTCAGCTTACTCCTTTGCAATCCCGGGGAAGCAGAGCTCTAGATAGCCAGTGGTAGTGCAGGCTATAACCTTGGGGAAGTCCCTAGAAAGATCCAATAATTAGGAGAGTATTACCAACTGAGAGAGCCGCTTCTGCCAAAGCTGAGGCAACGCTAACCGCTGAAAGAGACAACGAGAAGCATTCACGTCAGTGGAGGGGGTTCATCTGATAAAACACACAGGCCCAGTGGGCAGGAATCCTCCTTATGTCCATGTGATGGGACACACACACACACACACACACACACACACACACACACACACACACACACACACGTGGTTTGGCCATATGTTAAAGAGCCAGCCTATGCAAACAATGTCTCTGAGCCACCTTCCCGTCACCTGACTTGCTAATTCTCACTGAAAACATCATTTGACCTTACAGGCAGGTGGCATTTTGGAAATGAGAGTTTTTTATTCCCTGGCCCCAGGAAACTAACTCTTCAGATAGAAACAAAACAAGACAACCAGTAAACTGATAGAGTGGAGGAGACAGCCTCTCCTCACCCTGATCTTCATACCATTTCCCCACCTCACCTCTGCCTGGTCCTCTAGAGGGTAGAGAATGAGTAGTCCTGGGCATTAGTGAGGCCTGACAGTAGGACAATTAATAACAAAATAAGGTTATAGAGTTTTTGGTCAAGTTCTCTTTTGAGTGGTAACCTAAACTTGTCCCTTGTGGCAAGAAAGTCCCAACACCAGCAATCAGCAATGAGGAGAGCATCAGTATAATCAGGCGGCCTGAAATTTCATCATGAGGACTTGGGAGCACCATAGAAGGGCCGTTCCCAGGAGTTAAAAACCGCCCTACAGCAGGGCATCACTCTGCCTTCCGGGTATATTATTGCTTCTGCATGTAAAGCCTGGAACACAGGCTGTGACAATGGACAGTGGATCTTCATTTCCTGACACTAGGGTGACCAATATTGTTAGCTGTTGGAGTCCAAGGATGCTTGAGAGGCATGAGACTCTTGGTGCTAACGCCAGGATAAGTTCTCCCCAGCACCTGGTCTGCTGCTTGGTAGGAAAGTGAAGTCCCAACAGAGACTGGGTACCTGAACAGATGGCTCCTGCATCCTCATGGTGATCACAGTTGTGCACAGACAGGCCGAGGTGGCGGCAGTGCCCTAGGTTGGTCTCTGTGCCCAAGCACTTCACATCGTCTAGGAAGATGGGGCCAGAGCCATCGCCAAACAGACTGCTCCTGGGGGCCGCCAGGGCCACCCCACAGCCCAGTTGTTGACATACCACTTGGGCGGCCTGTATGCTCCAAAGATCATCACACACAGACCCCCAGGTCCCATTGAAGTAGACTTCCACGCGGCCCTCACACTGGCTTTTCCCGTTGACCAGTCTCACCAGCTGCAGATCTGCAGGAGCCAAGGGACAAGTCAGTTGAGGGTCCTTCAGAGCTCAGAGAGAACAGCGCATCAAGCTAGAGAATCCTAGCCTGGGGTGCAACCTGCTGTTGGGGTAACAAGCACCTGACTATGAAGGGCTGTGCTGACGTGGGAGACCTATATGCACAAAGGAACACATACGACCACTTTCTGTACTGGAAATTTAATGTGTTTCTATCTATGCTGGGTTGTCATCCTGGGCAGTTTTGTTATGGAAATGGAGGCCACAGGCTAGCATTGAGGAATACGTACCTTTAAAAAAAAAATGCCATGCTTCCATGGAGCTGTTTCCCTAGTCCTCTCTTTACCCTTTCTTTTGAGATAAGAGTCTCACTAATTTTCCTAAGCTGGCTAGACCACACTCCCAGGCAGCCCTGGAACACACAATCCTCCTGCCTTAGTCTCTGTAGCAGCCCAAGTCTCCAGGTCTTTGGCCCCATGCACAGGGCTAATTGTTTTTAGGGTCCTTTTTCATAAAGCCACTTTTCTAAAAACTGGGAAAAAACGCAGCTGCAGGCTGAGAGTTCAGGCTGTATTTCTAACCTGGTTCCCTCAGATAGGACGCAATTTACAAAATAAAGTTAGTTGTTCATCACTTGAATCCAGAAAATGTAAAGTATCTATCAGAGATACAGCATCCCTGAGGCAAGGTGGAGAATTCCCAGGAAGAAGACCCTCTGAACTAAGATAGATGAAGTCGATTCCCAGAGTCTGAACCCACAGAACCGGGGTGGACTGTTTTCAAGGGTTGACTAAGGCACAGTGTGGAGCCTGGCCTTTGAGCATCAGATTCTGCAGTTGAGATGGGTGCGTACATTGGCTCTCTCTTTGAAAAGACCCCCATAAGAGGAGAAGCTGCATGTGACAAGCTCTAATGAGCTTCTTTGTTATGTAGCACCAGATCCATAGGCCATGGAAATAATGGTGTGTGTGTGTGTGTGTGTGTGTGTGTGTGTGTGTGTGTGTGTGTGTGTGTGTTTGCACATGTGTTTTGTACTTGCCTGTATAGTTATATTAGATTTCACCCCAGGTTTATTCTTCAGGGTGCCTTCTACCTTGTGTTTTGAGAATATTGGCTCTCTTATTTTTACCTGGAACTGCTTGATTTGGCTTGACTGGCTGGCCAGCAATCCCCAGAGAGCTGTCTGTCTCCACGTGTCCCAAACTGGGATTACAAGCATGTGCCGCCGTGCCTGGGACTGAACCAGGTTCTTCTGCTCTCATGGCTAGCATTTTACCTACTGAGCCGTCTTCCCGGCCTCCTGGGCTTCATTTCTGTTAGTCACAAACAGCCTCAGAGCAAAGAGTCACAGACTGTAAGAGTGAGGACGTACCTATTGGATGGAAACCATGTGGATGTCCCTCAGGAGCTGAAGTAGCTGTACAGGTAAGAAGGGGGAAGGGGGAGGAAGTTATCATAAATACATCCGAAGCAAATAAAAGGCCAGCTCATACCCTTACGTGCCATCTAAATCATAGAAGTGAGTTTGCCTTTAAGCAACTCACTTGTAGCTGATCAGATAGTTTCCATTTAAAATGCGACAACGGCTCATGCATGTGTGCGCATTATTCTATGTAAGAATGAGACATCAAGTTTATGTTGGGATTGTGAAGCTGTGACCTCATAGCAGGGTCTCACTGTCAGGTCACCAGCCTCATCCCAGGTCACGAGTGTAGGCTGCAGATCGAAAAGGAACCCCTGCCCCCCGGGTTCATCTGCCTCTAGGACCACCTGCCCTCCTTGGCCTCCCAAGGCCTCTGTTGCATGAACATCTATTTTGGGTCAAAAACTGGTATTATGGTTTCCTGCTGAAAGGTGGCATTCATGTGCAGAAGGGATGGCACAACAATATGTTAACATCCGTCCATGTTAGATGCCTTTTCTCTGGGTGCATGGCAGGCCCCCAGAGCCCGGGGGACAGCAATCTAGATCTCAGGGAATCATCAGAAAAAAAAAAAAAAGAAAACTCAGAAGAGAGACCCAGTGTGGTAACCCTTTTGGTAAACTTTAGTCATTGGGCATGAAATTCGTGATTTCAGAGATACCTGGATGTCCGGCAGCTGCAGAATCTATAGAGAGAAGGGAAACATGAGATGGTTGACATTAGAAGCCATGGTGGTGAAGTCCTGAAGGCCATGGCCTTTGTTTAATTGCAACTGAAGGAAGCTGGCGGGGGCAATTCTTCTCAAGCATCCAAGGCTGCCCCCCTCTGCTGTGGGCTTTCACTTGCCTAAAAACCCAGGCACACGATTCTGATAGAATTAATCTTAGTAACAAAAATTACAACAGCTAGCAATTTTGTGTAATTTACGGTTTCTTAGATGCTTGGCTAAGCATTGTATGGTTGTCTTGTCAATGCCTACCAACTCTGTGAGGTTAGCACTATTATTTTCTTTATTGTAGGGCTGATTAATCTCTTCAGACCCTCACTTTGAAAATAGCCACCCCAAGTATTTCAAGCATAGTTTTCAGTGTTGGAAAAAAAAAAAACACCACCCTGCCCATGAAGGCAGACTCGAGGTGTGCCAGCATTCAGGCTTGGCTCGGGGAGTTCTAGAGCTGGCCTAGGATGGGCCTTCTCTCACCTGCACAGATGACACCAGCATCTTCCTGGTGCCCACAGTTGTGGGTGAGCCAGTCGCTGTGAGGGCACTGTGCCAAAGAAGACTCCTTTCCTGTGCAGTTGACATCATCAAGGAGGATGCTGCCTGACCCAGGGCTAAAACTGGTGCCTGGTAGGGCAGATAAAGCTGAACCACAGCCAAGCTGTCTGCAGACCACGTGGGCATCCTCTATGGACCAGTTGTCATCGCATACGGTCCCCCAGGTGTTGGCATAGTACACCTCAACTCGGCCCTCACACCTGCTTGTCCCATTCACCAGCCGCAGGTCCAGACCTTGGTGGGTAAGCCAAGAACAATCCCCTTGAGGGCTCACTCTTAAAGACTGCCAGAAATAGCAGCTATTTCCTGGGAGTCACGCATTGACTGTCAAGGATGGTGGACCCACTTCCTTTTTATTTCAATTCTTGTCCTTGGTACCATTCCATGTGTTTTCAAGATTGTGTTTGGTAAAGGAAAGATTGTTCCTTGGCCAGCTGGACCAGGAACTTGCCCTGGGGTCTTCTTACTGCAAGTTGCAAGTCTTAGTTTCTGGTGCTCACCAAGTTTGTTTTATTTTTTTATTTGTCATAAAGAGCTGTGCTAACTGGTGTGTGTGTGTGTGTGTGTGTGTGTGTGTGTGTGTGTGTGTGTATGTGTGTGTGTGCATATATGTCTGTGCATGTGTACACTGATTAAGGGGTGATAGCAGCAAACAGCAGGATCAAGAGTGTCCCATGTGTCAAGGTGTTCCAGGGAATGAGAAGGGCAGTCATTGCCTGCCGATGCCCATAGTCAAAGGCTGTTGTGTCAGAAGAGAATAAAAAGTCAGAAGACAGCCTAGGTCAGTTCCTAGGTAGAGTTAGGTAAGGACAGCAAGGCACCCTGGGTCTTAACAGGAGCCAGCTTCCACACCAACCCTCTGCAAATTATCCTTGCTTCTTGCAGTATTTTCTAGTCCCAGATTTTCTAGATGGGCCAGGCATTCTCAGTCTCCTTCCAGTAGCAGCCATCAACAGGGCCAGCCTGAGCTAGGGAGGAGGGTGGGCCTAGACAGTGTGTTCAGCAGGGATGCTTCTCCTCCAGCAATGCTGGATTCTGGGCTCAAACATTACAAAGGAAAGGTGACCGAGGAGTGGAGAAAAGGTTACCTGTTGATGCCGACACCCCTGGCTGCTTTACCAACGATGCTAAAGATGGATAGAAAGCAAAAGAAGAAAATTATACCACATCTTTGGTAAGTGTCAGGCATCTTCAACTCTTCATCAATTTCCAGGGGGCTCTCCATCTTCGAGACTATCTACGGATAGCTTCAAGTCACATCCCTTCCAGTACATTTCTCTGTAAGGAGTAATCCTTCCATCCCTCGAACAACATGTACACGGTGAATACAAACTACTTTAGAAGCCCATGAAAATCAGAGCCTGGGGGTTAACAGATTTTTTTTTTTTTAAAAAAAAATACAGTTTAAAAACAATGAAGCATCCTTTGAAGACCTCTGGCACCAGAATAACCCAAGCTGAAGCTTCCTCTGAAGGCTTGGGGTCTTTCTTTCTCTCAATTCTTTTCTGCATGTTGAACTTTGCTCTTAAAGACCTGCCCCGAAGAGCAGTTGACCAAGTTTGAAATGTGGTAACTACTGGGCCCCAAAGAGCCAGGAGCAATTGTAAAAGTTAATGCTTTGGGCTTCTTTGTTCTTAGTCCTGCTGAGGAGAAAGCAGTATGTAGAGGGAAGTGCTCACAGTGCTCTGGCCCCGGGAACCAGAAGTCATGGCTGAGATCTACATAGCATGTCCTATCATATGCCAAGCCCTGTGCCCACCCCTCCCTCTGCACTAGGAAAGTCACCTAATCCCAACATATCCTGAGGATGCAAATGCCACCGTGCCACCTCCTCCCGCACATCCACAGGAGGAAACAGAGACTTGAAATAGTCCCGCGATTTGCTAGATTTAGTGATGATGAAGACAGGGTGTTGGCCCCTAACCACTACCCTACTTCCCAGTGGAACTCTGCCAATGCAGGTTAGAGCCAACCAATCAAGAACAACTGACGTTACCTGAAATCGGATCACTCACGGGAGATGACGGTGCTGGGAGAGACAGGGAGGCTAGGAAAAACACACGCAGAGTCAGGGGAGTCACCAAGTCATCTCTCTTCATCCTTTTAAACCCCACAGGTAAACCTGCTTATTTGAATTATTTGTTTGGGGGAGGGACCAAAGCCAGATGTATCCCATCTGAGCATCTAAGAGTGACCCCGAGTCACCACCTGAGCTTCTGGATTCCTAGGTCCAGTCTGTCCTGATAACGGATACTAGAATATAATTCCTTTCCATTTCAGATAGTCACCTATAGGAAGCATCTGTCTTACTAGTCGGTTTGGTTTTGTAATTCTTATTTTTAAATGAATTAAAAGTCGGGGGAGACCTTGATCTGGAGGAGGTGGGAATGGGGGGTGGGCTGGGGGGAGGGGTGGGCGAGAGGGGGAGAACAGGGGATTCTGTGGCTATTATGTTGAACTGAATGGTGTTGTAAAATAATAATAATAATAATAATAATAATAAAAAAAAAAGTCCATCAATTACACACAAGATCCCATGTAGTCCAGGTTAGCCTCAAACTTGCTGTCAATTTGCTGTGTAGCTGTCCTGTGGGTGCTGGAAACTGAACCTTGGTCCTCTGGGAGAGCAGCCAGTGTTCTTAAGCATCTAGTCATATCCAGGCCCTATTAATTTTTTTTTTTTAAAGATTTCTGATTGTGATAATGATTTCATTGTCACTGTGTATGGTGGTTTGAGCCAGAGTGACTCTCAGAGGCTCATGTGTTTGAACACTTGGTCCCCAGCTGGTGGAACTGTTTGGTTTTGTTGAAGGAGGTGTGTCCCTGGGGACAGGCTTTGGAGTTTCAAAAGCCTAAGGAATTCCCAATCAATCTGCTTCTATGGATGGATCAAGATGTGAGCTCTCAGCTACTGCACCAGCACCATGCCTATCTGCTGCCATGCTCCTCATCATGGTCATGGACTCTAACCCTCTGGAACCATGAGCCCCAAATAAAATGATTTCTTGTATAAGTTGTCTTCGTCATGCATGTTTTATCATAGCAATAGAAGAGTAACTAAGAAACTGTGCTTCTGTTGAATTGTGGTCTTGCCACAGCATGAGGCCCAGGCTCTCTGTTTAAGCTGACGAAGTCTGAAGTTTCAAGTTTCCTTGGAAAAGGAACTCACATAAACAAAGAGTCAGATTAAAGGAAATGGTTATGAAAATCACACCTTGAGTAGCAGGTGGGTGTGCTGGCACAGTGGCCTGGGGACTGTTCTAAATTCCCTTCCTGCTTTTTGTGCGGTGGGGCTGGAGGCTCCCAGAACTGGAAAGTCACCAACCCATCTGGCTCAGAACCCAGCCCACCTGAGCAGATGACACCAGCATCCTCATGGTGGCCACAATTGTGGGCAAACCAGCCACCGTGCAGACACTGCCACAGTCTGGCTTCCGTTCCCATGCACTCCACATCATCCAGGACAATGGGGCCTAGGCCTCGCTCAAAATGGGCTCGGCCAGTGGCTGCCACAGCTCCACCACAGCCCAGCTGCCGGCACACCACCTGGGCATCTCTCAGGTCCCAGCTGTCATCACACACAGTGCCCCAGCTGCTGTTGTAATAGAGCTCCACGCGGCCTTCACATGGGTGGCTGCCATTGGCCAGTCTGAGTGCCACATCTGGAAAAGCAGACACGCAGGGTCACCACCCTGAAGCTCCCCCTTGGTTGATGAGCACTCGAAGGTAAGGAGGACATGCTCTCTGCCTTGGCTAGCTTTGAGGGCTCAGTCCTCACACTGGGGAGGGCACCTTATGGGTTACAGCTGGCTGCTGAGGACCTTGGGTTTGATACAAATGTGATATTTGACCCAAGGGATGTTTTTTCAACACCCCCACATACACACACACCCAGGGTTAATTTTATATTCCACAAAACCCAAAGAAGACTCTCAATAGCCTTTTATAAAGTGACAATATTGAGCATGTAAACACTGTCGCTCTACCGTTTGCGAACTCATTATCAACATAGTTTTGAATAAAACAGGTTCTAACATGGGGCCAGCTGAGTCCCCTTTCTCTGAACGGTTCATGGACCTCTAACCATGAAGATGTGTGCACCTAAGTCCAGAGCAATGTGCAGAGCAAGAAGTCTCTCCAACCTACAGCTCAGGAGCTGCAACTGACAGAAGCCAGGGAACCACTCGCAAATCCCTAGCACCCAGGTGACCGAAGGTCCATCTGAGTTCAGTGCCACCACCAAGCAGGACCAGCGTCTGAAATGATGGAAGGACCTACCTCTGTCTTTCTCATCTTGCAACAGTGACTCATAAGATGCATAGAATCCAATGTTGGTGACAATGTCGTCACTGTGGAACACCACGCTCATGTGGCTCGAAGAAGACGTAAACACTGGGATTGTTTCTGAACAGAATCTCCCCAGTGAAAATGATTCACTTTGTGGGCCATCAAAAATCTCAATGAAGTCATAAGGGCAGCCATAGAAGTTTTCCATCCTGTGGATGAGATGGCGTCAGTCAAGCTCCTTTCCGTGGCCCTTTTCTCCAGAAGTGACTTCCCAGATGGTAGCAGCAAGGGTCAGGCAAAGCTACTGCAAACCCATACCTCTTCCCACAGGTTGGAAGAAAAGCTTGACCCTGCTGATGTGGCCAAAGGTACCTTTCTGTTTCTAAATAGTTTTTTTTAGTTTTGTATTGAAATAAAGTATTTTTACACAATATGTTCTGCTCACATTTCCCCCTCATAGCTACTCCCCACTCAGCCAACTCCATGTCCTTTCTTTCTCTCTTTAAAAGATAAACAAGCAAACAACAAACAAGAAACACACACACACACACACACACACACACACACACACACACACACACACACACACCACCCACAAAATGGAACTCAAAGTATATAAGCAAAACACCAATCAGATATAAGAAATTCCAAAACAAAGCAATTTGAGACAAAAAGTCTACAAAAATACCTTTAAATTCATTTTCTTTTAATTTGTCAAAAGTTTTAATTCAGCTGGGTGGCAGTGGCACACGTTTTTAAACCCAGCACTCAGGAGGCAGAGCCAGGTGGATCTCTGTGAGTTCCAGGCCAGCCTGGTCCTACAGAGCGAGATCTAGGACAGGCACCAAAACTACACAAAGAAACTCTGTCTCAAAAACTCCCGCCCCCCAAAAAAAATTTTAATTCAATAATATATTTTCAATGTGTGCTATAAGCTCGTGGAACATAATTTAAGTGATAATGATGGCCTTTGGTAAGAAGGAAAATCCCCCATGCCCACTGATCCCCACTTGATGCTGCTTGCCAGAAGCAGTTCTTTTTCCTTCCACAGGTAGCTTGCACACGAAGGGTGGCAGATTTGAAATAGATTTGAAAAGGTGGCAGGTTTGAAAACAGTTGTCCACTGTTTTCTTCAATCTCATTCTGTAGCAATAGTCACTTATTCTGTGACAGTAACATGTGGTTGTACCAAACATCTGTTTAGTGGATCTCCTGCAGATGGGCAAGTCGATTAATCCCAGTCACTGTCATTGTGTGCAAGCTGCACACTCTCCGTGTTCTCACAGGACTTAAAGTTCTGGGGCTTGTGTACTTACACTTTTGATCAATATTACAAGGCACTTCAAGGTACAGCCCATTTGGGAGAAGTTTAGCCTTTAATATTTTTTTTTGGTTTTTTGAGACAGGGTTTCTCTGTGTAGCTTTGCGCCTTTCCTGGAACTCGCTTTGGAGACCAGGCTGGCCTCAAACTCACAGAGATCCGCCTGCCTCTGCCTCCCGAGTGCTGGGATTAAAGGCGTGCGACACCACCGCCCGGCTAATATTTTTATGTAATATTTATACATACATATACGATGCGCATTCAGACCTCCCCAATTCCTTCCTTTCCAATTCCTGCCCACTTTTCCTCCCAACTTTACATTCTCTCTCTCTCTCTCTCTCTCTCTCTCTCTCTCTCTCTCTCTCTCTCTCTTAAATTTTAGTTATTTTTACCTATTTGTTTATTTTGAGACAGGTCTCACAGTGTAGCCCTGGCTGCCCTTGAACTCCCAGAGATCTGCCTGCCTTTGCCTCTTGAATGCTGGGGGAAAAGGCATATGCTACCACATCCATTTTTATTTTAAATTTGCTACTCACTGAATCCATTTAGTGCTTTCTGTACGTGCATGGGTATGGGGCTTTCTACAGGAACCTGGGCAGCCTCTCAGGGCCTGCATCTCTGAAGAAACGTGGCTCTCACCCTCCCAGTGGCCATCAATTGCCAACAGCTTCTCAGACAGGGGTGGGACTTCCTGAGCTCCCCCTGGTGTATGCTGAGATTTTGGCTGGCTTGATGCTATGCAGGTGTTGTGCATGGGGGTTCATCTGTTATGAGTTCGTGTATGCTACGGCACTGCTGTGTCTGGCGAAGAGGTCGTCAAACTGATGTGTGCAGAGCCAAGTAATGATAACTGTAAAAGCAGAAAAGATTTACTCACTTGACCACTTCAAAGGTGAGTCTGATGTGAGCACTAGTATCCACTCGTATGTCCCAGGCACAGACCACATTGGTGGGATATTTTTTAGGATACCAAGGACTGGAGAAGGAGCCTGAACTATTTGTGAGCAAACCACCACACCGGAAACTTTCATCTGTAAAAAAAAAAGTGAGGAAATCCCATGAGGAGACACCAGCCTCTGATGCTTTTTGTTTTGTTTTCTTTTTAGCAAGGTTAAGAGGAGATACATTGAAAGCAGAAGTAAAGAAAACAAGCTGAGTGTATGGGGTGCACGTCTATAATCCCAGCACTGGGAAGTCTGAGACAGGATCTCAAATATGAAGCGAGTATGAACTGTAGATTCGGAAGAAAGACAACTATACCAACAAAAAGAAGTAATGAAAGCTTATGCTAGAGCTGCCTTTCCTTTTTTATTTTGGTGCTTTTTTATGGGGGAGTGTGTGTGTGTGTGTGTGTGTGTGTGTGTGTGTGTGTGTGTGTGTGTGTGTGTCTATGAAGGACAGAAGATGGCACTGGATCCCTTGGAACTGGGGTGACAAGAAGTTGTAAGCTGCCTGATGTGGGTGTTGAGAATAGAACTGAGGTCCTTTGCAAGAACAGCAAGTGCTCTCTTAACTGATGAGCCATGCCACTAGCCAGGAAAAACAACAACAACAACAAAAACAAAAACAAACAAAAAAAACAAACATTTTTTTTTTTGATACAGGGCTCGAGTGGCTGAGGCAGACTATATAGCTGGGGGTGACCTTGAACTCCTGAGATCATCCAGCCTTCACCTCCTGAATGCTGGAATCATAGGCACATGATCATGACTTGGCATCATGACTTGTTTCATGCAATGCTAGAGACTGAGCCCAGGGCTTCCTGTGTGCTAGACAAGCACTCTAACTACTGAGCTACAGCCCCAGCCTCAGCATCAGCCTTTTGACAGATGAAGATCATTCCCTTTGTGGCGGGGAAATGATAGCAGCTAGAACTGAATGGGCCTTATGAACCCAGATGCCCGGGTAGGTTTACATGTGCAAACCCAATATGCTGTGCCGTAGAACAGATCAGTGATTCTCAATCTATGGGTTGTGACCCTCACAGGGCTCACATATCAGATATCCTGCATATAAGATATTTATGATTCATAACAATAGCAAAATTACAGTTTTGAGGTAGCGACAAAATAATTTTGTGGTTTGGGGTCACCACAACATGAGGAACTGTATTAAAAGGTGGCAATGTTAGGAAGGTTGGGGCTTTCCGATTGACTTTATTAAAAGAAATAATTGGGAGGTTGTTAAACTGATTCACGATCTTAGTTCCTACATAAGTAAAGCAAAGTCAACTCAGTACAGATTGTACTGCCAACTCACCTCTAACTAGGAACTTCCCACTCTAATGACCCAAAGGAAGACATTGGCACACTTTCACCAAGCAAACATTGGCCTTGCCTCCAACTTTGCCCTATCAAAGCCTATCCTCCTGGTGGAGCCCCAAATGACCCCAGCTTGCAGCTGCTCAATTCAAAATGGCTATCTGCTCAATATCCTTTAAAGTTCTAAGGCACCAAAGCTTATCTTTTAATAATTATATACAAGTTGGAGCTGAAACCAAAACCAAAATTCATTATCCAGTTAGTCCCAGACTCTTGGACTTGGTGTGAGATAGCTATAAACTCCTACGCAGCAGCTTCTCACCTACCAGAAGAAGAAAGGGTATCAGCCAGATACAGGGGGAGTTAAAGTGGAAAGAGAAGCACATACAAGAGGAGCTGTAGTACCTGTCATGATGTCACCAGTGGAGTCTATGAAAATACACAGAGAAAAAAGTCATGATCGAGAATTTGCATCTATATTTCATTTTTTCTTAAAATACTGAAGACTATTGACCTTCAGAATCAATCATTCCCCTGCACTCAATGGACAGCGAAGGCCCTGACTCTCAGGAGCTTGCACATTTGTACCTCAAGAATATGGAGGGGGCCACTGCAGACAACCTGGAATTTCTGGTTCCTTGCTCCATCTAGAACCTCATGACATGATCATCACTGCCAGCAGTTGCTCCCCTCTCTACTGAACCAGTAGCCAGGAGATTTCCTCTCTGGTGGATCTGAACCCTTCCCTTACTCTCCCTTATCTTCTCACCCTTTGCAGCAGTCCAGTCCCACCATCTTGCCAACTATAATAGGCGTTAGTGCCTTTGTTCATCAGAAATCAGAGTATCTAATCGAGCCGTCCTCTCCAGCCCCAGAACTCGAATGGTAGCTGGGATGCTCACCCATGAGGGCCCTGACAACTGAGTGTTGACAGACAGTACCTGCCGGTCCTGGGCTTGGTGTGTCGTCAGCACCTATTGAAGGTCAAATGTGAGGGTGAGAGACAGATTAAATCAGGTGGTCACACGACTCCCTATAAATATCAGGCTCTTGGTTTAGGATCAGACATGCTCTGTTTGGGCCATTGGAAAAGTAGAAGTAGAACTCATCCAGGCCAGTGAAGGAATCAATGAGCCAGAGTAAGGGAGCACACTATCTATACCCTTGTGGTTCAGGTACAGCATGGTGTTTGTTTGATTTTGGCCAGTCACTGGGCCAACAGAGCCTCTGTAACAGAGATGAGCTCGGTCTTTAACCCAGGACCTCAGCCAGGCAATACTTAGAGAACATGGCCCTGCATGTGGTGTTGGATATGCCTTTGAGGGCCTGATCAGTTGAGTACAGATGCTGTGGTCTCTACTTTCCTGGAAGCTGTGGGTATGAACTGAAAATTCAGATGCTCTGGTTGTAGGACAGTTTGGCACTCACAGAACATTTGGTGGGTACTGGGTTATTACCAGCACCCAGGCATGCCAGGCCAGGTATACGTCTGCTAAAAAACTGACCATTTATATAACTGCTATTTTGAGCACTTTACAGGTGCCAGAATCTAAGATCAAAAACTATTTCTTAAATAAATTGACTTAAAAATTGGCTCAAATCCCAGTGCTCATTGCTGACCGCTTGCCTGCTGGTATTGACATCTCCCTTCCCAATGGCTGGGGGTTGGCGAGGCTCTGTCTCTGAGGTGTGGTGCACGCCATGCCACTCACCTGAGCAGACCACGCTGGCATCCTCATGGTGCCCACAGTTGTGGGAGAACCATCCGTGGTGTGTGCATTGCCACACCTTGGCTTCATCACCCATGCACTGCACATCGTCCAGCAAGATATGGCCCACGCCTCTATCAAAGTAGCTCTCAGCTGGGGCTGACAAGGCCTTACCACAGCCCAGCTGCTGGCACACCACCCTGGCATCCGTCAGGTCCCAGCTGTCGTCACACACTGTGCCCCAGGTACCATTGTAAGAGATCTCGACTCGGCCCTCACACCTGTGGCTACCATTCACCAGTCTCAAGGCTATACCTAGGAGTGGAAAAAATAGGTGCTTCTGAGATGTGACCTTGTCCTCATAGTCTAGGATCATCTGCAGGTGGAAAAATGTTCTGCGTGTTGGACCTTAGGAGTGGCCCTGTGACCTGATTCCCTAAAATAGTCTTGCTTTATGGCTGCTGAAGAGCAATTGATGCCTGCTGATTTTTTAACCTCCCCCCTTTCTCTCTCTCTCTCTCTCTCTCTCTCTCTCTCTCTCTCTCTCTCTCTCTCTCTCTCTCTCTCTCTGTGTGTGTTTGTGTGTATGTGTGTGTTTGTGTGTGTGTGTTTGTGTGTGTGTGTGTGTGTGTTTGTGTGTGTGAGTGTAGACATCTGTGTGGATGTCAGAGGACACCTTTGGTTGTTGGGCCTTGCCTGGTTTGAGACAGGCCTCTTCTTCACCTATCTACATCCCATTCACACCAGTCTAGCAGGCTTGTGAGCTTCTGGGAATTTGGCTATCTCTGCCTCCCATTTTACAGGGATCACAGATATGTGCTACTGCACCCAGTTTTGTGGGTTCTAGGGATCTGAACTCAGGATCTTTACCCACTGAGCCATCTCCCAGCCCAGTATTTTAGAGTCTCATAAGCTCCCAAAAGTATCCCAGTTGGAGGATACCTTACATAAAACACAGAGAGCACTGGAATGTTCCTGCTCCCTGCTGTGGGACCTGAGAGGTCCACAAGTGTTCTGGATGGTGTGTGTTGACCACCTTTCTTCTGATCATCCAGTCAGAAGAAAGTAGATGGACAATTATACTTCGTGATAGTTCCAGAATAATCTTTCATACTACTTTATCCCTTCCTTTGGGGAGGGAGGCTCTCAGTGGGATTCTCTATTGGCACACACAGATAATATGAGACAGGAGGTCTCAGCCGTATGTTTCTAGATGCTTTAGTAGAAGACAGTGACTGTGGGTGGCAGAGCAGAGATAAGGGCTATGACTGCAGTCATACTAAGTGTATGCCACTTAGTAGCAGAGGTGGACACATCAAGTGTGGTATAATTCAGGTTAGATTTTAAGTGCACCTTCTCTCTAAATGGGACAAGGCACAGCCAGATGTACTTCCTGCAAGGTACATGTCAGGATACCCACCATTCTGCCTTTCATCTTGGTGAACAGTGTTGTACAGAGCATAGAACCCTGTGTTGGTGATCATGGAGTCACTTTTGAACACCACTGTCATGGAGTTTGAAGAGGAGAGGAATGTGAGTTCTGCCCCAGCGCAGACTTTGCCCATGGACAGCGAGGCAACTTGCTTCCCATCAAACACTTCAACAAAGTCATAAGGGCACCCGTAGATGTCTTCTAGCCTGAGGGGGTAAGGGCAGCATTAGTCCCCCCAGTCAGTCAGCTCTGCCAACTCCTCCTTCCCACCTCCACTCATCACTCCTCCTCTAAGAGCCCTTGAGTTTACCCCTACCCACATACGGGACCCCCGCCCCAGACTATCCTGGTTCATCTGGTCTATTTTGGTGGCCTCCATCTGGAAGCCTAGTTTCCAGCCTCTCTGAGCCTCTTCCCCTTTGTCCTAAATATCTCTTTGACCCTCTGATTCAAGCCCTGCTTTGGGTGGTAGTCAGTGTCCATCAGAGACTCACAGAGTAAAACACTCAGGAAGACCCTGACTGGGGGAGATAACACCACCCTAAAGAGGCCTAGCGGGAGGACTCATCTCACCAACGTCCCAAACTGCCTGCATTTCCATGAACCTGGACGATGAGAGAGTTAACCTGGACAGTGGGTGGCAAGCATCCCACACGCTGCCTTCTTCTGCCTTGACCCTAGCCTAGTTTTACAAGTATTGATTGCTTTGACGTCATAGCACATATTAACTTATCACTTCCTGAAAATTTCCACTGAAAACTTCACGGTTTGCTTCAGAACTGTTTGTCTTTCCATCTAGATGTAAACTCACGGCAGCAGAGGTCTTATCTATTTTGTTCAGCCCTCTAAGCCCAGTCCTAGACAGGAGCCCACACAGAGTGGGAACAATCAGTACATATGGAAAGCTCTCTGGTGCTTATCTAACATAATAAATATTACATAGCATGTAACATGATATGTATAATTTCTGAACTATAGCAAGTAGCCGTCTCTGCCTCTGTTGTAAATTCTCATTGCAAACGCACTTATGTGTGTGTGGATATATATATACATACATACATACATATATATATATATATATATATATATATATATATATCCACACACATATATATATATCCACACACCCAACGAACACACTTTAAACACAAACTTAGTACTAGATTTTAATGTCTGCCATTGTACATCTATCCCAGTGAGTAAAAACCAAACACCTAAAACTAACACATTTTTGTTTTGTTTTGTTTTGTTTTGTTTTTGAGACAGGGTCTCTCTATATAGCTGTCTTGGAATTCAGTGTGGGCACCAGGCTTCCCTGGATGTAGAGATCTTCCTATCACTGTCTGCTAAATGCTGGGATTAAAGGCACCATGTCCAGCTATAAAAGAACCATCTTTCTTTCTTCCTTTCTTCCTTTCTTCCTTTCTTTCTTCCTTCCTTCCTTCCTTCCTTCCTTCCTTCCTTCCTTCCTTCCTTCCTTCCTTCCTTCCTTCCTTCCTTCATTTATTTATGGTTTTTCAAGACAGGGCTTCTCTGTGTAGTTTTGGTGCCTGTCCTGGATCTCACGCTGTAGACCAGGCTGCCCTCGAACTCACAGAGATCCGCCTGGCTCTGCCTCCCGAGTGCTGGGATTAAAGGCGTGCACCACCACTGCCCAGCTAAAAGAACCATTTTTAAAGGGGAAAAAGGCAGCGACACAATTTCTGTGTAAGGTACAACAGAGTGACAGTCACAGGTATTGAATTCAAATGGAAGCTGCTCCCAGAGCGGTTCCTGTGCAGAGGAGCCAAGAAAGCCCCTGAGGGACCTTGGCTTTGACTTGCAACATAACTAGCTGAACTTGAGCTATGTCTTGTAAATGATTGTATTGGGACTGAGTGGTATAGTGTTTGCATGGCAAGTATGGTGTCTTGGGTTCAAACCCAGTGGCTTAAAAATGAGAAATAAATGCCTATTTCTTTATTAAAGAAAGCCAATTCAAGCTTGACCTGAAATAGTCAACATAGTTACACAGCTAGGGCCTTCCCAGTGGGATGGACCAATGAGACAATTCTACAGCTGCAGCCAAGTGCATTCTCTTTGTTCACCTCTGTGTGCCGAGGAAGGCTTTCCTCTGCAGTTCCTTAGTGCAGCTCCGGAATCAGTTCTCGTTAGTTACCTGAATCCTTGTTGGCCAAATCAACTAAAAATATCACTGTGCCCCAGTTTACCCGTTTTTATCAATCTGAAAAGTTATTACTTCAGAAAGCAGGAACACTTGGTGAGAATGAAATGGCAAAACTTAAATCTAGTAGTATAACTCAGAAATACCATCGATCTCTTTTGAGAGAGGGTCTCTTGTTGGTCTGGAGCTGGAGGACAGATGACTTGCTAGCCACTGGAATCAGCCTGTCTCCACCTCCCCAGCAATGGGGTTACAAGTATGTATTGCCACACTTAGCATTCTTAGGTGGGTTCTGAGGGTCGAACTCGGATCCTCTTGCTTGGCAGGCAAGCACTTCACCGACTGAGCTATCTCTCCGGCCGCCACATATGGGCGTAATTTTACCACTTAAATATGAATCGAAGTTCCGTAGGCATTGCAAAAGAAAAACAAATAAGCCTCAACGTAAGTCGGGGCTTCTTGGTTTTAGTCTCACAACTGTGCTCAGGATGGTATTGGAAAACTCTTTTCTTGCGAGGGGTGGAGGGAGTTGTCTAGATCATCATAGGACATTCAGTAGCCTTGACCTCCATCCACTAGATGGCAGTGCTTCCTCCCTCAATTATGACACTCAAAAAAAGACCCCAGACCTCGGGAAAATATCTTGTAGGCAGGTATAATCACCTTTAGTTAAGAAGCCCTTTGTAAATAAAAAAAAAAAAAAATTGTATGACCCAAGAAACAAGATGTAAACAACAATATATTTAGATTTAAGACCATCAAACCCCCAAATCATCAACTTTCTCCCTGTTCTGGGCAATACATTAAACTACTTCATAATCAGTGTGCTTTAAAACTATAGGAGGAATTTATATTGCAAAAATTATTTAGATTACAGGAGATTTGGGGCATTACAACCGCTTGGAATAGTGAGAGAGTGGCGTGCTCCATGTCACTGCCCACACTTCTTACACCCATAAAGGTAGCGCTCTGATGGTTGACTGCTGTGGGTAATGAACGCAGGTAGAAGGAAATGCAGAGGTCTGGGACACACTGAGAGACAAAGTCAGGAAGAGAGAATGACCCTGATGTGACAGCATAGAAAGATGAAAACATGGTTTCATAGTATCTAAAAAGGTTGGTTTTTGCTTTTTTGTTTTTTGTTTTCATTAAGAAGTTACCTATATTCTAGAGGGGAGGGGCTTGGTCCTGCCTCAATTGAATGTGCCAGGCTTTGCTGACTCCTCATGGGAGTCCTTATCCTTTTAGAGAAGGGATGGGGGGTGGGTCAGGGTGAGGGGAAAGGCTGGGGGAAGTGGGAGGAGGGATGAGCAGGGGATCTATGGTTGGTATGTAAAATGAATAAAAAAATTCTTAAAGACAAAAAGAAAAAAAATAAGCTGCCTATATGAATAGATGCATGTGTATGCAGTTGGCCCTCTGCATCTAAAGAGTCAACTAAGGGTGACTCAAAAATATTTGACAGAAACCTTGGTGCTGAACATGTGCTGGCTATTTCTTGTCACTGTTCCAGAAACAATGCAGTATAACAATGATTTGTTCCACGTTTACATTGCATTTCTTGGGTATCCTAATAAAACGAGATGATTTAAAGTACACAGGAAAATGTACAAGGGTTATATCCAAATTCTATTATATTTTATATAAAAGATTTAGACTTCTGTGGTAGCTGAGGGGGCTCTTGGAGCCAATCTGTGAACACCAAGGGACAACTGTATATATGATATATAAAATGTAGACACATAAATGTGTACATGTAAATATACATCAAAATATGATTGTTTTCAAATGGATGATGATTGGTAAAAGAGCAGGGAGCACAAGGTACTCAATGAGAGAAATGAATAAAACCCTTCAATCTGTTGAAGGAAATTTCCTAGCAGAGGACCTAATAGAAATTCTTGAAGGAAAAAGCAACTAGACCTATATCACATAGTATCTGAGAAAGGATAACCAGACAGTGAAAATGGGGAAGACCAGATATGCATCTTGCAGAAGGAAGAAACTTATATGTGATAGAGCAGGGGCAAAATCTTCAGGTGTAGACCTCCTAGCTAGAGCTCCATGTCTCCATGTCTGGGTGTTCATAGGTATTAGCTCAATGAAGAGGATACTAGGATAGTAGATGAAAGGATACCCACAACAAAGACTATCAGTGGTCACTTAAAGTGTAAAAGGATGTCCACCCCCATAGAAAGGCATTCCTCTTGGGGAATCACAGATTCAAATCTAGTCCAGCCATTAAGTAGAGAAAGGCAAAGCTGCTTACTTCAGGCTTGGGATCGTCAGCTCTATATTGAACTTCTCAGCCACATGTATCTCCCAGACGCATTCCATGTCAGTGGGGTAGTTTGTAGGATACCAGGGACTGGAGAAGGAGCCTGAGAGACTTGAAATTACTCCTCCACAAGAATTACTTCCTTCTGTGAAAGCAGATGAGAGACCTGCGGTTGGTATCTTCAGAAATGCATTTGGCAGTTTCCCAGATGCAGAATCCAGAATTGCATTACTACAAGTCTACATTGGGAATCATAAAATGGGAAGAGAATTGGCTGGTCTGGATAGTCATAGTTTGGCTGGTACAAGTAGGTATAGATCTAAGAGGAGATGTAGGAGGGCAAAATACATATGATTGGCAAGTAGGACTCTAAAACTGATTGAAAATGGGAATATGTGTATATATACTGGGGACATGTGGGGAGCATCCAGGTTGCACTTCTTTGTGTGCACGTTTGTGCATGTACACGTGTGAGTGGGTGGGCAGAGGCTAACCTTGTATGGTTGTTCAGGTGCTGCCCACCTTGTGTTTTGATACAGGGTCTCTCATTGACCCAGAACTCATTGATTAATGTAGGCTGGCTTGCCAGTGAATCCCAGGAATTCACCTTCTTTGCCTCTCCATGTTGGTATTACAAGCTTACAGCACTATGCTTAGCTTTTTTATATGGGTTCTGGGGCTAAAATTTAGATCCCTGCACTTGTAAGACAAACATTTTACCAATGAGCTATCTCTCTAATCTCCTAGACTATGTATACTTCTTAATGGTTTTCCTAGACTATTGCATGAAAGCCAGCTCAACTCAAGTGAGGCCAACATGGCCGCTTGTGAGGATTCCATCCCACCATTCCTTCCCCCCATGTCATACAGGACAGACAGAGTCCATGCTGTTTATATGAGTTACCACAATGTCATTCAAGTTTGTATGTTACAGGTTGTACTTCCAAGCAAGATGGTACCTTGTGGTTTATGGAAATGAGAAATGGAAGTTTCCCCAAAAAAATCCAAACTAAAAGCCAGAACAGAGTCAGCATTATAATAGTCATTGTATACTTAAATGCCAATGAATGGGCATATTACCACTTTGAAGTTTTAACAGATAATTTGGAGACACTCAATTCTCTTCCCATCCTGATGTTGGATAGAGCTCCCCTTCTCTCTGTAGAGTCACCAGAAAAAGCATAGACAATGCCCATGAAGTCAAATTGTCATAGACATGACTTCTTTTCTGTAGAGTGCTAGGTCCACCAAGCCAAGGGCTGTCCTGACTGACCAGCAATCACCTGCAATGGCACCTCTGTCTTTTAAAACATATACTGTGTAAAGCATCAAGTGCCAAAATCCAGGAGGCCAAAACTCACAATCCTTACAGCCACTATGGGGAAGATCAGACTGGACAAGGGTACTGTTGAAGGAAGAGGGCCATCACTGGGGTCCTGTTGGCTTTTTTTGTAGACAGTTTATATTTCAATATTCTGTACTATCAGCATCTATCATATGGTGGACCAAGGGCAAGAAGTTTTGAAAGTTTGTCCCATGGGATTCTGGTACTTGATTGAGTTTTACATAAAAAGCTTAGTGGAGAAGTTTGAAGTAGACAGGTCAGATGGTTCAAGAACATCCTTAATCGCCGGGTCTTCCTTTTGGCCATGTCTGATGTGAAGTTCAACAATGATGGATGCTAGCAACTTGCCCATCTTTCTTGGTCCTTTGTCAAGAGTGTTGTTGGATATTAATAGAATGGGTTTTTTCCTAATCTAAAGTATCTCATAAGTGATTTTCTTTTGTGCCTAGGTAGGTTGAACCTAGGTGGTTGAACATTGTAAGTGGGGCTTAATAGCCCAGCAGGAGCTAGGAAGTCAATAGTGCTGAGAACAACATGGGCTATGGAGGACCAGTTCAAGAGGTTTCAGAAGGGAACAATATTAGCAATTGAGCAAGAGATTATTCTTATGATATTTTGGCAAATAATATGGCTTTTTGCTCTTGTCCTAAGAATCTTCCTGAGGCTAATCTGAAGAGTTTGGGACGAATTTTGTTGGCAGAGGAGATTTCAAGATCCCCAAATATTGACTCTGCCATCATCTCACTCTGGGATACAGTCTGGACTTGGGTCAGAATTGGCAAGAGACCTCTACCAAGTTACCACTAAATACGTTATGGTCTTGCCAGCCCAGGATATGGACAGCTGCCAGACACCTTGCTGTGCTCCAAAACATCATAAGGTACACTCCCAACTTTGGTATTTGACTGGTCTTCAGGCCTTCACAGGAGGTAGACAGTAGCAACAATCACCAGGTAGGGTTGGGAGGGTTGGAGGTGAAGTCTCAGGAGCTAAAGTCAAGGATAAGAAGAGCTGGGATCCCTTTCCTGGGAAACATGGTGAAGCAGGAGGCAGGATCACACAAGTGCTGGATCTAGAAGGAATCCTGAGCTTTGGTGGAGGTCACTGCTAGACACTGGCATTGAGCAGGTGACTAGAAATTCTGCCATGTGTGTTAGTAAGTCAGCAGATCCACAGAGGAGTCTTGGATGGTTTACTCTCTTAGCAGCATTGTGCTCTCATCCCTCTGGCAGGGTTTGCTATTGAATGCATCTTAGTTTTCCTGCATGCTTGCACTTTTTTAACCCATGCCCTTGTGTCCACCTTTTCCCTCCTCCACATATCAGTTCTCTCCTCAGCCACAGTGACTTCCTTCTCCTTCACCGTCCTGCCCTCCCTGGCTCCATCAGAGAGGATGGTTTGGGATCTAGTTCCATTTGGAAAATGTCACAACCAGTTCTTGTCTGAGCTACTGTTTTATTTTATTACTATTGGGGAAGGGGGAAGAATGCAGGCTATGGGTTGTGTTATGGCATCTCCATACATAAGCATCATTGTACTCTGCCTTTGTCCAGTTCCCTCCCACACTGTGCTTCCTCATCCCCCACTTCCTCCTCGTTCTCTTCCTTCCTTCAGTTAGTTCCCACTTCTGCTCTCCTAGTACATAAATTCCACCACTCTCTCTATTTTCTACCTCCTTTAAAAATTCATCCTCCCCTCTCATAACCCCCTTCTCTGTTTCATGGCCTACAAATGCACATATAAATACACACACACACACACACACACACACACACACACACACACACACACCTTCTCCAACTACATATCTCATAGGGGATTAATGTGCAAGGTATATAAAGAACCACTAGTTTTTAAATTTCTGCTGCATATTAGAATCACATGGGAGCTTGACTATTACTGGTGACTAGAGGTGGCCCTCAAGACTCTGAAGTGGCCAGTCTTGGGAATGGCTGAGCTTCTAGAAGTCTCAGAAGCCCCCTGGGTAGTTCTAGTATGCCACCAGAATAGGAAATCACTGCTCTGGTCACTGTCCTCCAGTGTCTAGGTGAGGACACAGATTTCTCAACGTTGAAAAGATGGAATTTACAGTGTCAGACTTACCTGTGGGTGAAGGAGTCACCTCTGCATCTGCATGAACAGGAAACAAATGAATTTAGGGAATTTAAATTGCATGGAGACAAAGAAATGCTAATTTTTCTAATGTGGGCATGTCTCAAGCAGACAGGCTTCATGGTATATAAGCAAGCACATAGCTATAGTTTTTCCTGGGAAAGTGGCTTCACATCTGGGCAAGGTGCAGATAATAGGAAAAGCCAAATAAGTGTCCCTGGGCGTCTGTCCTCAAAACAGCCAGACTCAGCATTCCCTGTCTACCTTGCTGGAGGGGTGTTCTGCTTGTCAATTTACCAGTACTGGGACCACCTAGGAGACAAACCCCTGGATTGTTGAAGGCGTTTCTAGATTAGGCTTATTGAGGTGGAAAGACTCACTCTAAATATGGGCAGCACCATTGCATGGGCTGCAGTTCCAGACTGCATAAAAAGAAGGAAGTTCAGTGCCAGCATTCACCTCTCTCTGCTTCCTGGTTTCAATACAATATGACTAGCTGCCTCAAGCTCCATCCTCCATGACTTCTCTGCCAGGGTAGACTGCACCTGAACTGTGAGCCAGAACAAACCCTCCCTTCCATAAGTTGCTTTCATTGGGTATTTTGTTTACAGCAATAAGAAAAGTGACCAATTTGGCCATTTTCAATAGAGTCCCATCCCTGCTCCGTTCATGGCTTCTATCCATCACTAAGCTGCCTCATAGAAGAACTCAGTATGGGAGACACAGTACCTGAGCAGATAACCCCAGCATCCTCATGGTGGCCACAGTTGTGGTCTAACCAGGCAGAGCTGGGGCACTGGCCAAAGTGGTTCTCCTTTCCTGAACACTGAATGTTGTCCAGGAGGATGTTTCCAGAGCCTGGGCCAAAGTAGGCACTTCCAGGAGCAGCGATGGCATGGCCACACCCCAGTTGTCTGCACACGACCTCAGCTTCATTCATGTCCCACAAGTCATCACACACGGTGCCCCAGGCCCCCTGATGGAGGACCTCAACACGTCCCGAGCACTGTCCAGAGCTGCCCGCCAGCCGCAGCACTGGTCTGTCTTCTAAACAGAGGAAGATTTCGTTTTTGAGCATGGGAAGGTTTCTGTAGGAAGTGACTCCTAGAGGCTGTGCCAGGGCCAAGGCTAACACAAGCAGAAACCCTTGCGGCTGCCTTGATTCCATATGAAGCCCAAGGGTGACAGAGTCAGACTGACACTGGGGTGGAATCTCACTCTGCTGCTGTGCTCTACTTGGCAATTGTTTCATCTCTCTGAGCTGTTTCCTCATTTGAAAAGTGAGAAATCTAACAGGAGTTTGTCTCAGGGGCCCTTGGGATGAACCGGTGAGAGCACACATATAAGACACACAGGTCACACCCAGAAAGGAGTTCCTTCCCTCGGAGACAAACAAACCCAAACTTCACACAGGAATTTACTGATTATCTGGTTTTCTGGCAGCCTCAAAGAATGGAGTTCCTGCACAGGGAACCGGAACATCAAAAAAAAAATCCCACAACTGACAGGCGGTGTTCCTTGCGGGGTACAAAGTGAACCCAGCTCTGCAATGGCTGGCTGCAAGGCCAGGCCTACAAGGAGTCCCCAAGCCTTTAATTGGGGTGAGCCTATGATTTAGGGCATGTTGGGTGTGAGCTGGGTCAACAGGTAGAGAGCTGGGCTTTTGCATTTCAGAACTCTGGACAGCTCCCAAAAGCGCTTGTGATGGCAGATGCAGCCTATGGACCCTTCATAGAGTATGGCTCTCCTTGGTAGCTGCCTGGCCCCTTACAACTATCCTTTCCAGTATTTTTCTTTTTTCTTTTTCTTTTTCTTTTTTACGGGATGTACATTACCATCTTACTGTCACTTGCTACCTGGCCCTCATGGTGAGAAAAACTAGCCCCTTGTGAAACAGGGGTAGAGTGTGTGTGTGTGTGTGTGTGTGTGTGTGTGTGTGTGTGTGTGTGTGTGTGTGTGTAGAGTGGCAGGGGGAGCAAAAGGAACAGACCTCTGTGAATAGGAGAGTGAAGTTAGAAATTGTTTTCTATTATATCCCCAAGATACCTGAGCTTCCTACCTGACTCACTTCCATCTTGTGAAATTGCATTGAAAAAAGCATAAAACCCAGTATTTGTTGTCATATAATCGCTTCGGAACACCACGGTCAAGATGTCCGAGGAGGAGAAAAATACCACAGCGGATGGGGCACAGAACTTCCCCATGGAGAGTGATGCAATTCTGGGGCCATCGAAGATCTCAATTGAGTCATAGGGACATCCCAGGATATCTTCCAGGCTGGGGGAATGAGAGCTGGGGGTTAGTAACACTGTACCAAGACTGTCAGTATCAGCACCCCAAACCATGACAGTCTCAGAGCATGAAGTTATTCATTATCTTTCCCAAAGCTTTATCAGGACTCTAGTTTCTTTGCCTGGGGAGTATATGTAAAGCTTATTATTACAACTTTGTTATAAGTTTTAAAATCAAAGTAGTTCCGACCAGCCACAAAGATAATATAGCTTAGGAATTTGTGATTGCTCTTTGTTTGGGTTTAAAGCAAGTCCAAACTGACAGCCTTGACACAGTCATGACTGAACCACGATTCAGTGCCTGGCTGAGGCTAACTTATCACGGAATCTCATGGTTTTCCTCTATTGCAGCATGGTGTGTGCTATGCTCAAGAACAGCCTTGTGAATATTTTGCTCAGAGAAAACTTTTGGTGAGGAATGGGGACTTTGACATCAGACAGACCTGTATTCATATCAATGGGCAAGTTAGTTACTCTCCATGATCTCATTGTCCTCGTCTCTAATGAGGATAACAAAGACATCTGTAGGCTATAATGACACTGGAGCATGACAAAGCCTAGGAGCATATAGCCCAGAGGCTGTGGAAATAACTTAGTTGGTAAAGTGCTTACCATGAAACATGAAGTACAGAACCCATGAAGAAATTCTGGTTGTGGTGGCTTAACCTACTTCAAGAGTTCAAGGTCAATGAGAGACCCTCTCTTGAGAAATAAGGTAGACAGTGCCTGAGAAATGACACCTGAAATGACCTTTGATCTCCACATGCTCATAGGTGCAGGCATGTACACATACATATAGAAGAAGCATGCAGTCAATGGTCCGGATGTACAGCATTCTAAAACATCAGCTGTTTCTTCATGCCATGGTGATGAAAAGGTGGCAGTGACTATGGAACACTGTTCTATTTGTGTCAGAGGTGAGGCAACAACTTTTCCCTCTCCTTTCACTTTAGGAAACACTTAGAAAAATGCACAACCCAGGCCTGGAACAGTTGACTAATATGTATCTTAGGAAACTCTCTGAACATTTGTATAAAATATGATGAGCAAAAAGGTTGGCCTGAAAGAACATATATTGGTGCCTAGTGTATACGGTCAAAGGTTTTGAGCATTTAGGGACTTCTTTTAGAAAAAAAAAACCAAAAGACAGACTATCAAAGCAGAGCTGTGTCAAATACATTGATAAAGAATTTCCTGCATGTTTCTAACTAGAAGAGACCTGCTGGATACCACTACAAAAGTAACTCAGACTTGAACGTGGACATGCTGGAATGTTTTTCACTGCTATGCTTTCATCTCACTAAAGGATATGTCTTTACCACAGTTCAACAAACTGATGCTCTTACTCAAATTGAACTTTCTCTTTACAACTAGTTTCTTACTTTAAATTCGGAATCATAAGCTCTATGCGGAAGTTTTTCTCCACGTGGATCTCCCAAACACATTGGATGTCTGTTGGATAGTTTTCTGGGTACCGTGGACTGGAAAATGAACCAGAGAGACTGGAAATGACCCCTCCACAAGAGTTACTTCCTCCTGAAACATGAAAAAGGATGTCAGGTTGCAGCCACATGGTGTCACTGAGTGATCTTCACAGACAGCATGGTCAAAACAGAAAAGTCAAGTGTGGCCAGGTGGCAGTTGGCCTGGGTGAGCTGGTACTTAGTTTAGCATCTCTTGGGAAGCCATTTGATCTAATTCTAATGACTCAAAAGCATCACTGTGTGAGAATCCCCATCCTTCCTTCTGCTCCTACCATCTGAACAGGGATGTCACACTTATCCTCTGCTTACCGAATCTCTCCTTTCCAAAATGGAAAGACTGTTTTCTGGGAGAAAGATGAGGCTCTACATTGTGAGAGACTGGGAAGGAGGGACAGAGAGATGGGCATCTGTCTTGTGAAAGAGGAAACTCTTTGAGGAGGTCTATGGAGCAAGAGGCTGTAGAAGAACTTTGAAGTCTGACTCAGCTGGGAAGGGGAGGGACAAGGGGCAGAGTTGGGAGCTTACGACTGGGACATCCGTACACTGTCATCACTTTGCTGGATCGTGTTTATTTCCTTTAAATGGATGTACTCAGACTGGAAGTTGAGTAATTGGGGATTTATAAAAGTTAAACAAGAAGACAGAGATCTAGTTCTTCCATAGTCATCATCGTTTTTAGTATGAATAGACACCGATCTACAAAGGCAGTATGCTGTCTAAATGAGTAGATAACTTAAAATTACCGAGTTATCTTGGAGGATCTTGAAAGCACAATGCACTTTACTGGTCATATACCTAAATATTATTGAATTGCTCAATTTTCCTTCTTTTCACCACTATGACCATCTTGTAATCCTCCCAGGGTCCCATGAGTTCCTAATCTTGCCTAAGATGGATGCTGGGCACTGCTTCCAGACATCCTACATTTCTGCCACTAATCACATTGTGGGGTGGGAGGAAGCTGGGATCAAATTCGGGGTGTTGTGCGAGTGCTTTCTACCACAGAGCCAACTCCCCAGTCCCTTTTATGGAGACAACATCTCGTTATGTAGCCAAGGATGGCCTTGAACTCAAAACGGTCCTGTCTGTACCTCTCAAGTGAGGAGAGGACAGGTGTATGCCACCGTACTCCACTGATCATTCCATACTCCACTGATGACATCTATAGGTTACAATAACAGGACCAAGACACACATATGTGTCAAGAGAGGAAAACCAGGTGTCTATGAGCATCCATTACAGGGATGTGCCTAAACAAGACAGGCTGAGTGTGAGTCAGATGGATTGTAGAACTACATCCTGCCACCTTGTTGACCTCTTATCTACTTTGTCCTGGGAAGACCCACAGCCTTCCTTTCTCACACACTACTCCCAATAAACAGTCAGCATTTACAGAGTGGCAGCAGCAGAGGAGTAAGCCGCTCACCCACATATGCCAGTGGCTTTTTTGAGCTACATCCATGGACATTGCCTGGAATCTGCTGGCATAGAGTTACCATTCTTTGTTCAAGCAAAGAAATGACTACCTGTTATTGGATCCTGAGAAACTGAAGGAGGACCTAGAAAGAAAAGAGAAGATAACAGTGACATCTAGGAGGAAATCTTTAGTTCCATCTACAATTTAGTGCATGGTGAAGGCTTTCTTTGAAAACATCAATGATTTGGTACAAACATAGAAGAGTCTGGAGCTGCTGAGTGAACATTCCCTATGGTTCTATGCCTGATCAAAGCCAGCCAGTACTTGGATATGCCTCTTATCACCAGATGAGGACTATGCTCCCTCTCTTGAAGGTAAATGGGCTCTGCAACTACTTTGAACAATGGGATATAGCATAAGATATGCTCGTCTTAAGAGACTATTGATGCCTACTTTCTGTTCTAAGAAGGATGCTTACTCATACAGCCTCACTTCATCTTACCCACTGAACAGACTGTATGAAGAGGTCCTGAGACTTCCTGGAAGGGAAGAGGACCTATCTTGCCAGCTGTACCCACAAAGGTACCAATCATGTAAGTAAAGCTATCTTGAGCTCTCCAAACCAGCACCCAGGTAAATGACATGGAGACCCTAGCTTGATGCTCTGAGGAGCAGAATCCCAAGCTGAGCCCTGCTCCAATTCCTGACCAACAAAACCATGGCATGTATTTACCTGTAGCTGTCTTAAAATGCTAAATTTTGGGACAGCAATGGAAAAGCAGGGTGGCTCCTTCCACATTTCTTTATCACCCATACAATTTACACGAAATGAGCAAACTACAGACAAGCCTTCATTTGAATAGCTACTGTTGGAGTTGGGGATATAGCTTAATGGCAGAGTGCTTGTCTTGCGAGCACAAGCCCTGGGTTTGGTCCTCCAGCCTGAGAAATTAAAATATATATACACACTATTCTTGACCTTAACCATGGCCTTTGAGCTTTAAATGGCACTTCTATCACTCATGACCCCAACACATAAGCTGGGCTTGCCTCAGGACACCCAGTACTCATCAACATCTCCTCCAGGTAAATGCTATGAGAAATGCTTTTTTCAATGACCTGTGACTTATATGCTCTCTGCTGAAGCTGAAGGGGAGAATCCAGATACATTCAAAGGGTAAGTTCAGTTTTCCTTCAAGCTAAATATTACAAGATGTCTGATCACCCTTCTGGAGAGACAATGTGAAGAGGTCCTGGAGCACAGGAAACGGAAGGGGGCCCATTCTTAAAGTTGCCCCTAATAGAGTTACTGTGAGCAGACTTTGGATCTCCCTTATCCTCAACCATGGGGATTAAATAATTAACATATCAGGGGCCCTTGCTTAATATTTACCAATGTTTTGGGCAGATGTTGTAATGAAATATGTTTTCATTCACTTCCATTGTCATTACAGAATTTATAGTATATGCATTAGTCTGAGTTTTCTAATATCTGATTATATATACATATGATTATATATATATGTATATCAGTATAAAAGCTTAGTTCCCCATTAATTTTCTTAATGATCAAAATTGTTTAATCTTTGTTAAATATTTCTTCTGAAAACATAGTATGTGTGTTTTAAAGAATTATCTTGGTGATAAGCAACAACCTGAGCAAACTGTCTCCCCATTTTTGCTACAGCTTTGTCTGATGTGGGTGTTCACTGGGCCAATGTGGGTATGGCAAATGAGACTAGAGGTCAGGTGTACTGGCAGTTGACTCAAATGTCCTGGATATCCAAGAGTTCCCTGCTAACTTTCTATGTGTCTGTTTATCTGGAAAATGGAAATAATCAAAATATCTTCCTAAGGGGAATTAAAAGAGTTGGAGGGAGTCCCTGACTTATGAAAATTTGACATGGCTGTCCTTCAGATTTTGAATTTAGATCTTTTCCTGGGGTCACATATGTGGATGATCCTCGCTTGAGATGCTGGACCACAGCAGTGAGCTCCCAGGCAACCACAGATGGTGAGGATATGTGGCAGGTGCTCTCAGTGTGCTGTTGCTGGGCTAGGAAGTCCAGTAGGTTAGGTGTATGAAATGCATTCTTTGATATGATATTCTTACAGTTGGATTTCTGGAACATAACCCCATCATGAGTTGGGCAATGTACATGTATGAAGAGCTCAGAATAATGCCTGACTCTTAGCATTTTTTTTTTTTAAAAAGTAGTTGATACTGTTATTATGGTTGTTCCTGGATGGGAAGTTCCTTCAACTAGGAGGGCAGTGGACCTACCTGGCGGCATGGGTTGAGGGGGGCCATCTGAATCTGCACACACAAAGAAAAGCAACAGGTCACTCTCTTTGGTGAGTTCAAAGGTTGAGGTGACAGGAGGTGGATGGTGAATAAAAGGGACAGGCCTTTTCTGCACCCTTTCTGGGTGCAGAAACCAGCTGCTAAAACTGTCCATTGGGCACTCTCATCTAGGGAAGTCCTTGGCTTAGGAAACTTAGCACAGCCATCAGGTCAGCTGTGTTTTATGGTGGGCAGGACCAGGTTCCTCGGGGTACTCTGATGCAGAATTCCTGGAATTCTTGTTAAAGTGCTGACCCCCTAGCTCCTTTCCAAATCTACGCAGGCATAGTTTCTTGGGAGAGGTGCCCTGGGATATTTACCATAATGCCCCAGCGTGATACCCATAGATACCCTGGACTTCCCGTATACCACCAGGAGCCACTCATGACAGGATATGTGTCTGACCCAGGACCTAGTCCTGAAGGGTTACTTAAAGAATCAAATGGATGAATGGAAAATACCACCCATCAAAGATGGTTTCAAATGTCTTCAGGTGCATAGGAATAAGAGGAATACCTGAGCAGATGACACCGGCATCCTCATGGTGGCCACAGTTGTGTTCCGACCATCCTGAATGTGGACACTGGCCGAGGTAGTGCTCCATCCCAGAACACTGAAGGTTGTCCAGGAAGATGTCTCCTGAGCCTGGGCCAAAGTAGGCCTCACCGAGACTAGAAATAGCCTGACCACATCCTAGCTGGCGGCATACAACCTCAGCTTCATTTGAACCCCACAAGTCATCACACACAGTGCCCCAGACTCCCTGGTGAAGGACCTCCACTCGTCCTGAGCACCGGCTGGAGCCACCCACCAGGCGAAGCTCTGGCCAGTCTCCTGTAGACAGAGGTATGGTGTGAGTCCCCACCCCCATGCCCACATCTGGAGCCTAGCAGTACCAGGCTCAGAGGAGGGTTAGGGTGGGTCTCAGGCATTGATCCTCATGTTTACTGTGGGTTTCTGAGTTGCAGCTAATTTTGTTTCAACAGATTTTTTTTTGTTTCCCATGTTGGTACATGTTCCCATTGATGGTACAAACATAGACCCTTAGGGAGCATGAGTCTATTCACTAGTAAAATACATACATCAGTACAATGTATTATTCCACACTATGATAATACCATGAAGGCAAAGGACAGGGTGTTAGAGGATAATGACAGAGAGGAAGATCCTGGGAGAGAGCTCTTAAAAACTCAAGAAGGAGCTAATCAGTTGGAAGAGCCAAGGAAAGTCCTTCGGACCAGAGAGAAGAGCACAGGCAAGGAGTAAGGAGCCATGTTGCTTCTGAATGTACCTTTGCTCTTGATGGTATGACAGTGAGGAAAATGGTCAAATCTGTAGCCCACTTGTCAGGTAATTTGTGAGTGTTTTACAAAGAGCATGCAAAAACATAAAATGATGGATACACATGTGAACACACACACATACATATACACACAAAATATCACATGTAAAAACAACAACAACCAAAAGAAATTGCAGCCATACTTCCTACTGGCATTCTGTAAGTGTTTATAGTTTGAAAAATAAGTGAACTCAGAGGTGAAAGGTCAAATAGCTCAAGGATAAAGTCAAGGGCAGCCGATAGCTAACTGTCACCTATTAAAGGCACCACTGACCTGGAACATCCAACAGAGGTTTTTCAGCATCTGTAAGTAAGAAAAACAAATAGGTCAACATTTGGAGGAACTCCAGGTTTTAGTAACAGAAGATGAAGTCTGATACAAATTTATTAATCTATTATCAACCCCTTTAAAGAACAAGGTACCAGGAAAACCAAACTTATCAATAGGTCTCACATAAGCCTCTCTCTGGGGTGTTGGTGTGTAGCATGTGCAATAGTTACGCTATATAATATGCTATGCAATAGCATAGCAATGTGAGAAGATAAACAGATTAAAAGGTTGAGGTTTGAACAGTGTCTGCTCCCAGGAGCCTGAGTCTATTTACTGGTGAAATATATACACGAGTAAGATGAATTATTCCACATGGGCAGCTCTGTGGACCGCACACCCATTCCCACAACAGTGACTGATTCTTTCAAGACACATCTGTGACTGCAGCTGTTTGCTTAAAGGCATCACATCATCAGACAGGGCTATCAGTAGGCATTCCAGAGGGAACCGATGTACTCACAGTTACGAGTGAGTACACGCGTAAATCCAGGTATTTAAAAAATGCCACAGGCAATTAAAATTAGTCATGCACACACACACACACACACACACACACACACACACACACACACATACACACAAGAATTTTCTCTCTGCTATGACAAAGGAGAATGATGAGATGTGCACTTTGTTGTCAGGTACTAAGCCAGTGCTATGTAAAAAACATCTGTGCTGGAAAGAGAGCAGTCAATCTCCTAGTTCCCTAAGTGAAGAGACTGAAGCTCTGGAAACTTAGATGCTCCACAGATGCAGTCAAGAAGCTCACTGTGGCTCTGAGAGCCAGCCCCATGCTGCCCTGGTCTCCTGGCAGCAAATGAACACTATTATTTCAGCTCCCAAACACTTCCTGAATTCAGACACATTCTTTGCATGTTTTAGCAAAGCACACACTGTGAATGATTGCTTCCAAAGGAGAAAATTAGAAAGCATACCTGAACAGATGACACCAGCATCCTCATGGTGGCCACAGTTGTGGTCTTTCCAGCCCGAATGGGCACACTGGCCCAGGAAGTGCTCCACCCCAGCACACTGGAAGTTGTCTAGGAAGATATCTCCTGAACCAGGGCCAAAGTAGGCCTTGCCAAGGGCAGACACACCCTGGCCACACCCCAGCTGTCTGCATACGACCTCAGCTTCATTCAGGTCCCACAGGTCATCACACACAGTGCCCCAGGCTCCCTGGTAGAGGATCTCCACACGCCCTGAGCACCGATTGGAGCCACCCACCAGCCGCAGCTCTGGCCAGTCCCCTGCAGACAGAGACCTGGTAACTGTTGTCATCTGGGAGTATGATATCATGATATCTTTCCATGAGATGGTTGAGCTATCCTTTCCTACATTCTGTTAGGTAAAGAAAACCTGCTAGAGTCAGCCAACTAGTCAACCCCAGCTGGAGTGGGATAAATCACAAAGATTGTCAATAGCATCTAGCTCATATAAAATCCAGTAATTGCTATCAGTTATGTCAGAAGCATGAACAAATCTGTTTGGGCTAAATGCAGACAAATACAAAACTTGCACAAAACTTTGTTATTTTTGTGAGAAGCTTTCAAGTGTCACTTTTATGGTAGCTCAAGGTTATACATCAGGGTGTTGGCATGCCAACCTTATCTGTGAAGGAACTGAAAGTAGAAAAATCAAAAGGACTCTACCAAACTCTACTCAAGGCAACCAATAGGTCTACCTATTCAAGACCTCCCCACCCTCTGCTTCAGAAGTGCCTTGCTTTTGTTTTTGTTTTTCTGTTGTTCTAGTTCATGACCTGTGGGATGGCTCTGAGCCTCTGCCTATTTTGGAAAAATCAATTAGTGATTTATATGGGATGCAAACTGAACAGTACCTGGGTCAGGCACAGGAGGAAGTGAGAGACTCCCACTGGAAGTTTTTGTAGGCTGTGCAGGATTTGAGAGTTCTGAAGGACACAAAAGCAAAATCAAACAACAACAACAAAACAACCTATTTACTCAGGATACGAGAGTTGGAAGATTCTAGGGATTTGGAATGGTCTTAAATCTTAGGGCAAAGTCAACTGGTCCATTTGCAAACACATGGACTCTGTGTAATTCTAGTACACACATATTAAGCAGGTGTAGACATGGATGCTGAGATAAAGGGACACTTGGTACTCAAATGGGTGCATTCTGGGACTTACTTGGTCTTTCTGTTACTGTCTTGGAAGTTGCTGTGGGGATGGCTGTGGAGACAAGATGTGGTCTTGAAAAAAGGATTTAGGAAGTCAAGGGAAGCATCCTCAGGGTCAGTCTTTGTTGAACACCCAGACTCCCACTGTGTCTTTAACCCTGTCACTTACATAATAGGGGATGTCCTAAGTCAAATCCTCTCTTCATAGGGGTCTTACGTTTCTCAGAAGTATGGGAGCCAACTGAAATGGCATACCCCTCTGCCTCCTCACCAAAAATATAACTTTGTAATTCGTGCTAAAATGCACACATTCATAGACCATGTCTTTCTGGGAGGAACCATCCCCCCTTTACTTTCTTCTTGTGATGGTGAGTCTTAATTTCAACTTAGTTTTTCTTGCAAAGATCTTTCTACCTCCTCAGTTAGCTTTATTTCTAGATATTTTATTTTTAGAAGCTATTATGAATGAGAGTGTTTCTATGATTTCTTTCTCAGTAAGTTTTTTATTGGTATATAGAAAGCATATATATGATTTTCATAACTTGATTTTATATGTGTCATTTCACTAAAAGTCTTGATCATTTCTAGAAGTTTTCCGTTGGCACTTTTGGAATCATCTGCAAATAGGAATAATTTGACCTCTTCTTTTCCCATTTGTATCCCTGTAATTCCCTTCTCTTGTCTTATTGCTTTAGCTAGTGCTTCAAGAAATGGAGGATTGCGGGGTGGTGGTGGCGCATGCCTTTAATCCCAGCACTCGGGAGGCAGAGCCAGGCGGATCTCTGTGAGTTCGAGGCCAGCCTGGGCTACCAAGTGAGTTCCAGGAAAGGCACAAAGCTACACAGAGAAACCCTGTCTTGAAAAACCAAAAAAAAAAAAAAAAAAAAGAAAAGAAAAGAAAAGAAATGGGGGATAGTGGACATCCCTGCCTCATTTCTGATTTTAATGGAAATGCTTTAAGATTTTCTCCACTCAGGATGATGTTGGCTGTGGGTTTGTCATAGACAGCCTTTATTATGTTGAGGTGTGCTCCCTTCGGTCTTAATGTCTCTGGGACTCTTATCATGGGGACATGCTAAATTTTGCCAAATATCTTTCCTGATCTATTGGGATGATCATGTGATTTTTGTTTCTAAGTCCATTTATGTGATTTATTACATTTATGACTGACTTACATGTGCTAAGCCATCCCTGCATCTCTAGAGCAAACAGACTTTATCATGGTGGATGATCTTTCAGACATGTGCCCTATTCAGTTTGCTAGGATTTTATTAAGGATTTTTACATTTATGTTCACTGGTAACACTGCCTGTAGTTTTCTTTTGTTGTTGATGTGTTTCCCTGGTTTTGTTTGTTATTAGAGTAACACTGGCTTTATAGAAGGAGTTCTGGAGGGATCCTTCTCTTTCTAGTTTTCTGAATAGATCTCCTTAGAAAGTTTGATAGAATTCTTCTGAGAATCTATCTGGGCATTTTTGAGGCTTTTTTAAATTACTGTTTTAATTTCCTTATTTCTTATGGATATTTGTAGGTTAATGATCTCTACTTGGTTAACTTTGGTCATTTGGAAGAACATAGAAATTTGTTCATTTCTTTTATAATTTTATGTTAATGGAGTTGTTTTTTTTTTAATCTAGGGATTTTTTCTTTTACCTTAGTAGGTTTTTAAAAAGTATTCTCTTATTCTTAATTTCATTGGCTTATGGTTCCATGCTCATTTCTGATTCTGTTAACTTGGATAATCTCGTTTCTTTCGATTAGTTGAGTCAAGGGTCTGTTGTTAGTTGAGTCTAGTTCTTAAAGAACGAGCTCTTAGATTCATCAATTCATTGTATTGTTTTCTTTGTTTCTATTTTTATCAATTTCTGCTCCCGATTTTTATTATTTCTAGGAGACTAACTTCTGGGAGTATCTGTGAAGTCATTCCCATAGAGGTTTAACTGAAATGGGAAGACACATCCTGGACATAGGCATGGTTTTTTCATGGGTCATGGTCCCAGACTGAATAAAAAGGGGGAAATGAGCCAACAGCCTGTATCCACATCTCTCTGCTTCCTGACTGTGGATGCCATGTTAGTCCCAGCCACCACAGCTAGAGCCACTCTCTCTATAATGCCTTCCATCATGATGGACTACACCTCGAGCTGTGAGACAAAATGGACCCTCCTTCCCAAAGTTGCTTCTGTCAGGTATTTTATCAGTCACAAGAAAAGGAACTAACATGTATCTGCTGTGCTAACTCTTAGATGTGGAATATCTAATTAAGTACTTCTTGTTATCCTTGTTAAAAACAAGGAATTAGAAGATCAAATAGACAATTATCAACATCAAGTGACCTGATGGTTGATTAAATGTAACTTGGTTGCAGTGTGACTGGGCATTAGATTTACACAGAAACTCTGCAGACAGAACCTCTCTTATACTAGGAATTAGGAAACAGGAGAGTGAGAGAAAAAGCCAACAGCAAGAACACCAGGGAGGCTGGGCATAGTGGTGTACTGGGGAGGCAGAGGCAGGCAGATCTCTGTGAGTTTGAGGCTAGCCTGGTCTACATAGTGAGTTCTAGGACAGCCAGGGCTACATAGTAAGATCCTGTTTAAAAAAAAAAAAGCACCAGGAGCAGGGGCAGAGGAAGAAACATGAACTAAAAATGATGATTAAGTAATGACATGGGCGTTGACTCACTGATCAAATATGGGGTCTTCGATGTCATCTCTGCAAAAACAAGGAAGCGATAATCAACAGGTGCTTGATGCCAGTTCTGGAGACGCGTTTGACCCCTGTTTTGGTGTCCTTCTCCTCTGTCTTGCAGTGTGTCGCCAGCATGCTCAGTGAGTCAGCCTGACCCTAATGGCCCTGGAGACTGTGTTAGCACTGTCTTCGACCAAAGAGATATGAGGCCTGCCTGGTATCTCTAGGTAGAGAGTAGTGTAGAACCCCAGGTAATTACCGAACCTCGGAAGCCTCAGTTTTCCCCTCGGTAAAAAGGGACGATCCATGGGTTCGTGTAAACTCAACACATGCAAGGAGCTTAAAACGCTAGCAAATGAATAATCAGTAAACATCAGCTGTTATCGTATTTGGCTCACAATTGTTTTAATTGATCTTGCTTAACTTGTGCGTACTGTGCTGTAACAGAGACACTCAGCTTAGCTTCTGCCTTCCCAGCATGCCCTGCTCCCATTTCCAGCACTGATCTCACTTCTCAAGTCCTCTTGCTGTTTCTCCATGAACAGCTTACCCAATGTGACAGCCAAATCCAAAATTGATCTCCCCTGCTGTTTTCCTTGGTGTTTGAAGCCTTTAGTGCTCCTGTCTTTTCTAATGTCCCTTTTTGATATGAATATATGTGTCTGTGTAGCACATTCTAGTACACACACTATTTTATTGGCCTGCCTTAATTTAGTATATTCCATTTACCTTCTGATTGTGTCTTGTATATTAATCTTGAACTCCTTATATGTTGTGTACATGTCTCAGAAAGGACCTAAAGGAACACATCTCCTTCCTCTGTATAATCTAAAGCACCCATCTGGGACTAGAATCAGAGTGTTATCAGAAATGACTCCTTAATGACCCATCTTGTGTTGTGTGAAGCCCCGCAATGGATTTCCCATCAGTCAAATGGCTTGCTTAAGGTCACAGAGCAAATGATGGCACATCACCAAAAAATTCAGAGCTGTGACTCCATGCCATCTTCTTACCTTTGGCTTCAAAATAGTAATAAGCCATGAAGTTTTTCCCAATGTTGTTCATGCCTCGGAAATACACAAGGGTCATTGAGCTGGAGTGGGATGCAAAGGTGATGTGCACCCCACTGCAGGGTTTCCCCAGGGACTTTGTGGAAGATGGAGGGCCATCCAGGATTTCAAAATACTCATTGGTGCAGTCAAGTCTGGGGAAGCAAATATCATGAATGTCTCCTAATCTCCTCATCAGGAAGTTAGGAGGTACTTGGGGAGCCCTGCTTTATTTTGTATGAGTAAGAATGCTGAGGACAAGCTCAAATCCTGTCTGTGATGCAGACACAGTATGATCCTTTCATCTTGTATTTTTCCCTTGAAAAATACTGTCTGAAAGGAATGGGGTTTTTAGCTGATGGGAAGGACAGAAGACTGACTTTAGTGGACCCTGTGGGGGAATGGGGGCTGCTGGGACCACAGAGTACTTTACAGTTTTAGGCCAATAGCTAATCAAGGTCATTTCATCATGTGATGTTTGCGAGGAAAAGTCTAAAATGAGGAATTTTAGGGTTTGGTTGTTCATGAGGCTGGTAACAGAATATAGCTGCAGGTTCAAATCCACCCAGACGCCTAACAGACAAGCTTTGGCAGCTAGCAGTGGGACCCAGATCTGCTCCAGTGGGACCCAGATCTGCCCCAGTGGGACCCAGATCTGCTCCAGTGGGACCCAGATCTGCTCCAGTGGGACCCAGATCTGCTCCAGTGGGACCCAGATCTGCTCCAGTGGGACCCAGATCTGCTCCAGCGGCTTTGTGGACGCTATCTGCTTTGCCAGCTCTGTGTTTCTCTGTGAACTTCCATGTGGCTGTCGCCAGTGCTGTTTCCACATCACCATCCCAACAGCCATCTATTCCAAACCATCTTTAAATTAAGCACAATTTAAGACACATAAATGATTTGGTGTTTTCTTCGGGCTAAATATAACTTTATATTTATATAAAGTTAAACATAACTTTAATCTGTGAATGACTTCGTTTTTGTGTATTTACAATATTAAAACCTAAAATTTCCTCAGATTCTGTATCTTCCGCCAGATAGCCAGAACACATGAAGTGTCTGTGTATGTGTGTGTGTTCCTCTCTCTGTCTCTCCTATCCAAAGAATGTATAGTGAATTTTTTAAATTAAAAATGCACGGAAGTATGAATATGATCAAAATATATTGTTACATGTATGAAATTCTCAAAAAGTATATGAAATATTACATTAAAAAGTAAAGTCACATCTTGGAAAAATTCACAAACATACAAAAAAGCAATCATATTTCTTTATATATATAATGAAAGTGTGAAAAACAATATAATTCACAACCATTCCAACAGCAGCAAAGGAAAGTAGTATCTATATATACAAGCTTGTAAAGAGGTAGTCTAAAATCCCACACACCACCTAGGGCAAGGTGAAGCCGGGTTACATGTGTTGCTGGTGGGAAGATGAAGTGATAGTCATTATGGGAAAGTCTCTCTGTCCTAAGAAGCTGTGTACTTACCATACAATGTAGCAGTCACATTCATGGACATTGGACTCTGAGAAATGAACTTACATTGATGTAAAACCTTCCCTGAATGTTCTGAGAAGTTTCATTTGAAGTCATTGAAGACTAGTAACAAGCCAGATATTTCTCAGAGGGGAAAGGATTAACCAAGGCTGGCTCAACCATATTAACGAAACCCTTTTCCACAGTAAAGAGCAACGGTCCCCAGATACCACAGCAACCTGAATGGATCTTAGGGGCACTATGATCCTGAGTGAAAAAAGTCAGATCTCTACCAAACTGTATGCTGTATGATTCCATTCACAGAACATTCTTGAAATGACAACAGGTAGGGGTGGAGAACAGATCACAGATAAGGGACAGAAAAGGGGTAATCTGGAAATACAAAACGTGAAAGGGAAGTTCCTTTGTGTAATGGACCTGGAATGGAACAGTGATTTTGTGCAGTTATTCACAGGATTAAACTGTGTGGAACAATCCACCCCCATCCTCACACAAATAATTGCATATAAAATTTTTTGAGAATTGAATATGGGTTTTGGTCCAGTTAACATTCACACTGATAACAATTTGGTGGCTTTGATAATATTCTACCACTGGGAGATGCTTGAGAGTGGTACACAGGGCTATGTATTACTTTTGAAATTTCCTCTATGCTCACAGTTATTTCAAAATAAAAAGCTGAAAATATATGAAGGACTCTTTTGAATACAAGAATCAATGTAGGGCTGAATGATCAGAAATGCACAACATACTTACATAGTGTGTATCACTTACTCAAGAGACGGGAATGCCAGCCTTACACGGTCAGAGGCGTTTGCCCTGATTTCCCACACACAGGTTATGTTGTCATGCATTTCATTCATTGGGGGGTTCTTAATTTTTCCAGGAGCACTGGTAATCACACCACCACAAGGAGATCTTCCTAAAAGAAGAAAGAGGTATGGTAACAAAAACTGCATGAGACCACAGCAGTCAACACGCCAACATGGGTGGAAGAAAGGTTCACAAGGCCCCACCCCTGGCTGAAGAATGGCAGTCAGACAATGACTCCCAACAGAGCATCAGTTTTATTTACCGATGAGGCCCCTGATAGGTTGTTCTTCTCAAGTGATCAGCCCTAAACCCTTGTACAGATGGGCAACACTAACTGAACCAGATAGGTAGGTAGGTAGATACATAGATAGATAGATAGATAGATAGATAGATAGATAGATAGATAGATAGATAGATAGATTGATAGATAGGGACATGGGAACATGGCATAGATTTGAGAGGCAGATTTGGGGATCATGGATTTGAGGATCATGGGAACATAAGGGATCAGAATGGTTGAGTCAGAGGAGGGACAGAGAGGGAGAGCAATGAAAGAGATATCTTGATAGAGGGGGCCATTATGTGATTAGAGAAAAACCTGGTGGCATGGAAACTCCCAGGAATCCACAAGGATGACCCCAGCTAAGACTCATAGCAATAGTGGAAATGGTGCCTTAATTGGTCTTCTGTAATCAGATTGGTGACCACCCTAATTGTCATCATAGAACCTTCATCCAGTAACTGATGGAAGCAGATGCAGAGATCCACTGCCAAGCACTTGGCTGAGCTCTGGGAGTCAAGATGAAGAGGGAGAAGGGATTATATAAACAAGGTGGTGGGGAGGGGGCGGTTTCAAGAACATGATGGGGAAACTCACAGAGAGAGCTGACCTGAGCTCCTGGGAGCTCACGGACTCTAGACCAACAGCTTGGGAGCCTGTATAGGACCGACCTACGCCCTCTGCATGTAGGTGATAGCTGTGTAGCTTGGTCTGTTTGTGGCTCCTAGCAGTGGAACCAAGATCTGTCCCTGGTACATGAGCTGGCTTTTTGGAACCTGTTCTCTATGCTGGGATGCCCTGCTCAGCCTTGATGCAGTGGGGAGGAGCTTGGTCCTGCCTCAATTTGATATGCCAGGCTTTGTTGACTCCCATGGGAGGCCTTACCCTTTCTGAGGAGTGGATGGGGAAGGGTAGAAAGGAAGTAGGGGAGGGAACGGGATGAGAGGGAGGGAGGGAAAACTGTGGTTAGTATAGAAAATAAAATTTAAAATTTGATTAAAAATTTTTTTAAAAGAAAGAGGATATCCAAGGACGTTGAGTTCTCACCTGGAACCACTGTGTCTTTTTCCATGACAGCAAATGGGCCATCTGCCAAACACAAAAAGAACATGTGGACCAGCAGCTGACACAGGACTACATAACAGTCTGTGTTCAAGAATCATTTATGGCAAATACAGTGCCTCGGGCCCTCCGGGACTCCTGAGCCCATCTCTAGAGGAGAGGCCCGAGCATCTAACAGCTCTGTGCCACAATACTCAAGCAGTGCTGAAGAGCTGACGAGATCCCTCCTAGACTTCGATGTATTACTCTCTTGTCACACATAAAAACAGGATAATTTTTAAATCAAGAGTTTAAAACAAAAACCCAAGAGCTCCAGCTCCTAAAGCCTCAGTAACCCACGGGGCTGGGGGTTGTAAGCTTAGGAAGTAGCAATAAGAAGACACACCACCTCAGGGGCCAGAGTAATGGCTCAAACGGTGAAGCGCTTGCCCTGCAAGCACAGTTCAGTCTCTAGAGCCCGTGTACAAACAAGCTGGTTTAGTGACACACACTTGCAATCCTAGTGCCAAGGAGGCAGACTCGGGTGGGTCCCTGGGGCTCACTGGCCAGCCAGACTAGCCCACCAGTGAGCTCTGGGCCAATGAGAGTTTTTGTCCAAAAAAAATTAAGATGGACAGTGCCTTGAGGTTGTCTTCTGACACACATTCACACACATAAACATGCATGTGCACCTATATTCACAAGAACAGAAACACACACACAAACAAACACAAACATGTATGTGCATGTGCACCCACATTCACAAGAACAGAAACACACACACACACACACACACACACACACACACACACACACACACACATTCAGTTTTCCTTTGACTCGGTGTTGCTAAGAGATACGGAGTCAGGGCTTAAAGATGCAGGGCCTCTTCCAGGCTCCCAACATCTCCCCTCTAGCAACTCTCAGCTCAGTATCATCCATTGCAGATCATCCCTTCTGGATCAATTTGATCCCTCCAGCAGGGGTGACTGCTAGAGGAGGATGTAATGAAACTTTTCTAGACCTTGGGACACCCAGCTTTATTCCTAACTCACTCTCTGACTGAGAATTATCTAAGAGTACGACATCAAGAGACCTCAAGGTCTGATGAGAAAGGGGGAGACTGGGCATGGGACACTCCAGGGAGGATGAAGGAATGCCAATAGCGATGGATGCTTTGTGGAACTAGGGCTGAACCTGTCTCGATGCACACCTCAAAACCGACTGGACAAAATATTCACAGAAGTCTTAGATGTCAATTATCCTGTGTGTAGGATACACAGCAGAGGAGATGAAGGGTGGTGGGGCTGGGCCAGACAGTGAAGGCACTGTCTACTCTCCTCTTACGCTATCAAGTGATTACATGTCTTGTCTATCTGCTACTCCACTGCCTTGGAGAATATGACAAACCCAGTTTCCAGCAGAACCTCTTCCCCAAGCCTCCAGTGAACCACATACATAAACATCGTCTTTCGTACCTGATAGTGCCGTTACATATTCAGCATCTACAAAAACGAGATATGAAAACATCTGCTGAGTGGCATACTGGCATATGTTCAGTGGTTATTTTTACACATAATGTGATAATTAGTTCATCTTTTACATATGAGCAACACCAATTGGACTCAGATATGTAGATATATAGATTGATGGATGGTTAGATAGATAGATAGATAGATAGATAGATAGATAGATAGATAGATAGATAGATAGATAGATAGATAGATGATAGATATAGATAGGTTCGATAGATAGATAGACAGACAGACAGACAGACAGATAGATAGAGACATGACATAAATTTGGGAGGGAGATTTGGGGATCAAGGGAGGAGTTAGAAGGGTGAGGTGGGATGGATATGATGCAACTATACTATACTCAATGTGCGAAATTCTAAGAAAGGGGTGCTTTGAACCTTTAGCATTCATTGTTCAGTTTACTAATTTTATAATTCACACTTTTTTCCTTTTCACTTTCCCAAAAAAGAGGTTTTACTGCTCAGCACTTTGTTGATGTGCCTTAGGATTATTAAAGTTATAAACTTTAAGCTATTGGCAAACATGTGTCTGAAGTTAGTAACCTTTCTCATCTCTATAGAGACTTCCTGTCCCCTGCTAGGAAGACAGACATGGATCAGACCTTTCTCTCTCATTATGGAATGGAAATGGGAATTACCTCACTGGGATAGTATTTTTCTCTAGCCATTTCCCACTTGGAAGGAAATGTCTTGGCCACATCTCACATTTCAACCATGTCCTACCCATCCATCGGCCTCTGTCTCTATGCACACCTCAAAACTGACTGAAAAAAGTATTCACAGAAGTCTGAGAAGTCAATTATCCTGTGTGTAGGATGCACAGTAGAGGAGGTGAAGGGTAATGAGGCTGAGTCAGATGACCTTGAAGGCACTTTATACTTTCCTCTTAGACAATCAGGTGATTACATGTCTTGTCTATCTGCCACTTCACTGTCTTGGAGAATATGACAAACCCAGTTTCCAGCAGAACCTCTTCCCCAAGCCTCCAGTGAACCACATACATAAACATCGTCTTCCCTACCTGGTAGTGACCTTGTTACATATTCAGTGTCTACAAAAGTGAGACATGAAAACATCTGCTGTGAGTGAGTGGCACACTGGCATGTGTTCACTGGCTATTTTTACACATAATGTGATAATTAGCTCATCTTCATTGTCAAAGTAACTAGATTTGGAACCACCTTGGAGACACCTCTGGACAAGTCTACAAGGGTGTTTCCAGAAAGGTATAGCTGAGGAGGGAAGACTATAATGTGATGGATGAGGGGTCCCAGGCTGAATAAAAGGGATAAAAGTATAAAGCATCCCCCGGTCTGATGTGTGACCGCAGGTGCAACAGGATAAGCTCATTCACACTTCCATCACAATGATAGACGTTATCCTCACATTGTGAGCCCAACACACCCTTTCTTCCTTTCGCTTTTGTTAGTATTTTGCTACAGCAGAGAGAACAGTAACTAAGACAGCAGAGAGAACAGTAACTAAGACAGCAGAGAGAACAGTAACTAAGACAGCAGAGAAAACAATAACTAAGACAGCAGAGAGAACAGTAACTAAGACAGCAGAGAGAACACTAACTAAGACAGCAGAGAGAACACTAACTAAGACAGCAGAGAGAACACTAACTAAGACAGCAGAGAGAACAGTAACTAAGATAGACCTGAAGGGTGTTCTCTTGGAGGGGCCGAGGCTTGGCTCTAAAGGGCATGGGCTTTACCTGAACAGATGACACTGGCGTCTTCACTGTGATCACAGTTGTGAGAGAACCAGCCAATGTGGGAGCATTCCTCCAGGTGCTCTTCATGTCCCTTGCAATGCACATTGTCAAGGAGAATCTTCCCAGAACCTTCCCCAAAGTAAGCTTCACTCAGGGCTGAAACAGCCCAGCCACACCCCAGTTGCCTACAGATGATGTTTGCTTCTGGGAGGTCCCAGAGGTCATCACACACAGTCCCCCAGACTCCTTGGTAGAAAAGTTCTACACGGCCCGCACATCTCCCATGGTTGCCTGCCAGCCGCACAGGGACCCAGCCTCCTGGGGAAGAAAAAGGGGCAGGGAAGTGATAGTGGTCTTCTCAGTCAGCTGATGGCTATTGTCTACAACCCAGTCTGGTATTATCTTCCTTGACTACCCAAAGCAACCTATGCAATTATCCCACTGTGTCTGCTCCATAGAACCTATGGTACTTTCCTTATCTGCATCCTGTTTCAAGATAGCTTCACAGTGATGAATCATTTGTGGAAATAGCTATTATTCTCTTTCCTTATGTTCTTTGCAATACGACACTGAGATGCTCCCAGTGAGAAGCCAGGCTTCTTTCCTCCTCTATTGACATTGTGCTCAGGGCCTTTGGTGCATCTTGACTTTGAGAGCATGCAGATGTAGCTTACTCCCTGGGTACCCTAGAGCATCATGTGAATAAGCATAGGCAAGCATGCTGGGTGATGAAGGACACATGTAGCTGGTCATTTCACTCACTTCAGGTGGTAGCTATATTGCTTCCAGACATGTAAGGGAGCCGATTCTAGGATAGGCATCTTCAGCTGACTTTCCAGTGACCCACACTCATGAGAAAACCAAAGCCACAGTCAGCAAGCCTGGCCTAGAACAGCAGAACTGCCCAGCTAACTTGTAAACTCATAAGCAATAATTTAAAAGGGGGAGGGTATTTCATACCTCTGTATTTTGGGAATGGTTTTACATGGCAAAGGATAACTTAAAAATTTCTTTATCCATATTCCCTGTAGATAACCTGCTCTACTCATAGCCAAAGGAAGACCTGGACCAGGGTCACATATCCTGGAATGGAGCCTGCCTGTTTAGGGTATCAAGAGGAGTTCCCATTGACTCCAGAAGAACCAGTGCACAGCTGCACTGTGTCAGGTTCCTTCTGGGTATCTGGAGAGCAAAGGAGAGCTGTAAGATATAGGGGCAGAAACTTCCCCTGTGGGTAGCTGTAAGTCATACAGAAAGGTAAGTGAATAGAGAAGTTTCTAGGGTAGTGGCTCAATGCTTGGGAGGCTTAGGCAGGTGGGGTCTTACCATGAGTTTCAGACCAGTCTGGGCTACAGAGTCAGACCTTGTCTTTAAAAAAAAGTAAAAATAGAAGTGGTATAGCTGGGTCATGTGATAATTCTCTTTCTTTCTTTCTTTCTTTCTTTCTTTCTTTCTTTCTTTCTTTCTTTCTTTCTTTCTTTCTTTTCTTTTTTCTTTCTTTCTTTCTTTCTTTCTTTCTTTCTTTCTTTCTTCCTTCCTTCCTTCCTCTCTCTCTCTCTCTCTTTCTTTCTTTCTTTCTTTCTTCCTTTCTTTCTTCTTTCTTTGAAATTTCCAAACTGATTTCCAAAGTACCTGCACTAGTTTATACCCCCACTAACAGTGTGTAGGGGTTCCCCTCTTGCCACATCCATGCCAACATTTGTTGTCATTTGTGTCCCTGATGATGGTCATTCTGGCTGGGGTGAGGTGGAATCTTGAAGTAGTATTAATTGGCATTTCCCTTGTAGCTAAGGATGTGGCACACTCTTTGAAATATTTACTGGCCACATGTATTCCTTCTTTGGAGACCTTTATAGATCTTGCTACAGAGACACTTGCACATCCACATTCGTTGTCTCTTTATTGACAATAGATAGGTGTCGTGGTATTGTGTTCCCCAAAATATTGTACACCATAATAAACTTATCTGGGGTCAGAGAACAGAAAAGCCACTAGATACTTAGGATAGGCAGTGGTAGCACACACTTTTAATCCTAGCATTCCAGAAGCAGAAATCCATCTGTTCAAGGATACAGCCAAGCATGGTGACTCATGCCTTTAATCCCAGAAAGTGAGCCTTCAATCCCAAGGAGTGATGGTAGAAAGCAGAAAGGTATATAAGGTGTGAAAAACAGAAACTAGAAGCATTTGGCTGGTTAAGCATTTGTCTGGTTGAGCATTTGGATGGTTAAGCATTTGGATGGTTAAGCTTTTAGGTTTTGAGCAGCATAGTTCAGCTGAGATTCATTCTGGATGAGGACTCAGAGGTTTCCAGTCTGAGAAGTTGGCCAGGTGAGGTTAGCTGTGGCTTGTTCTGTCTCTCTGATCTTCCAGTGTTCACCCCAATACCTGGCTCAGGTTTGATTTTATTAATAAGACTCTCTAAGATTCCTGCTACAGATAGGAAATGGAATTAACCTAGATATGCATTGGTTGATGGATACATAATGAATATGTGGTACATTTACATAATTGGATATGACTCTGCTATAAAGAAATCATGAAAATTGCAACTAAATAGATGGAATGGGGAAAATTACACTTAGTGAGGTCACCCAGGCCCCAAAAGACAATTGTTGTATGTTATCACTCACAGGCAAGTGCTAGCTTCAAATCATGTATTTTATGAGTTTACCCTGGAATTCACATGAAACTCGGGAAGTTCGGAGGCCAGTGGATGGATTGATGAATTTAGGGAGGAGAAAATTGATTATAGATGAAATGAAAGGAGAGAGAGAATGCTGAAGGCATAAAGGAGGAGGAACCATTCCCTAAGCAGGTGGCCTTGGGCTATATAAGAAAGCAACCTAGGTATGAACCTGATCAAGGCAGCAAGCAGCCTTGATTTCTGCATCAGGATCCATCTTGACATCCTGCCCTGACTTTCCTCAGTGATAGACCATAACCTGTAAACTGAAATCATCCCCTTTCCCCTAAGCTGCTTTTGGTCAGACTGTTTTATCACAGCAACAGAAAAGAAACTAAAACACAATGCAGCACAAAGGCTTTTCTCCTCTCACTTATGGAAGAGACATTCTCAGGAGGAAAAGCAAACCAACCAACCTGATGGTTTGGATGACTCGGGATCTGTTGCTGGAGTGTGGTCTGGGGAGCCGTCAGCACCTTCTGAGTAAAAGGAAACCAGCATTAAGGTCCAGAACAATGTTTACATTATGGTCATAATAACTTATATTTCTGAAAAGATAAAACAGCATTGATGTCTGAGGAAATTACAGCCTCACACTGCTGCAAACAATTCCTGACTTCCATGACTAGATTAGAGCTCATCAACTACTTGGAGACGATTGATATTTCCTAATCAGCTCTTACAGGACAGGACAATAGAGAGCTCTTGATAGAACTCATTTGACACATTTGACATCCCATTGCCTGAATATCCCATTCTCTGCTAAAGTAATCTCCAGTCCTGCCATGGATACATCTCTTTGACTGTAATTAGCATGTACTTTACTCTCCTAGCCCAGGGAGATCTACTGTAATCCCACAAAACAAATTTTAAAAGGGGAAGTTTACCTAACGCAAACAGGGAAAGAACTTGGTCAAGCCTCACAATGTATGTGTGAGGATGCTGCAACCCCAGACTCTGCAGTGGGAACAGAAACAAGAGCACCAGAACTGGGTCTGCACTCAGCGCTGAGTGCTGTGCCCTTCACCCATCTGTTATGCTGAGATTTAAGCAGCACCTCTCTAGGCTTGAAGGTGATGGTAGATCATTCAAAACCAGCCTCTGTAGATTGTTTGAAGCCTGGTTCAACAGTTCATTTTCATACCACATCCATTACACGAATAAACCAGAGGCAGAAGTCAATGTAGAAGAGATTCAGAAACCAGTGTTACCTGAGGGCAGGGAGTGTGTGTGTGTGTCTGTCTGTCTGTCTGTCTGTCTGCACATGTGTGTTGCTGCTGTTAGAGGGCCTGTTAGAGGACCGAGAGAAGATATCATCTCTCCCAGAAGTGAGTCAATGACCCATTCAATCTATAGAACTCTTGGAATGCAAAAGACCCCCTTAGCAGAACAGAGGGCTCTGGAGCCCTCCTCATCCATCAGTGTGTGAATCAGTTGTTGTGGGCACATGGGACTTTCCAAATCCCTGACTGAAGCAGGAGCTGAGGGGAACAGATATTGTTGGACCACGCGTGAGTTGCCTATACATGCCCTGTGTCTCTGGCAAGTCCCAGCTACTGTCACACACTGATCCTCCCATGTGCCCTAGTGGGAAACCTCACCCACCCGGATCATCCTTCAGAGCCACACACCAGCCTCAGCCCAGAACAGTCTTCTGTAGATAGAAAATAAAGTGGGAGTTTTTCCATTGAACCTGCCTAGTTGCCTGACTTACTAGCCAGAATCGTCAGTCCTTCAGGTGTATAAGAGCATGTGGGCAAAAGTATATAATAATAATATCACGTGATGTGTTCTTTGTTAATCACTGAGCTAATCAGTCAGGCAATGGAGCACATGTTTCTAACACAATGGTACTTCACACTGATGTCAGCAAGGGATACATGAAAATTTGGGGAAACTGATTTCACTGTGTGGGACATTCCCCCTTCTCTTTCTCCCTCTCCTGCCCATCAGTTTGTGTAAAAGAGCAACTGGCTTTTAAAAAACAGTTTGGCATGATATATAGGGACTATTGTAATTTGTACTAGACCACAAAATAACATGGACAGAAATCATATAATTCATATGTATTAAAAAATGGGGGCTAGAGAGATGGCTCAGTGGTTAAGAGCACTGACTGCTCTTCCAGAGGTCCTGAGTTCAATTCCCAGTACCCACATGGTGGCTCACAACCATCTGTAATGAGATCTGGCACCCTCTCCTGTCTACATAATAAATAAATAAATCTTTAAAAAAAATGAAAAGCAGAAAGTTGTAACGTTCAGAAGAGTGATTATCTCTGAAGAAGGCAAAGGGGAGACTGGGGTGGGTAGTAGGAGCTTCATAGTAATTTATTTTTGCTTTAAAACGCTGTAACTTTTGTGGTGTGCTAGGGACAGAATCCAGAGGGACACTTGGTAGCTACCATTGAGCAGCAGTGCTAGCCCTGGAGGCTTCATCTTGGTTTGTCTGAAAAGTTCATACACGCATATAATTTATTTCAATCAAATCACTCGCCCCTCCAATTCTTTCCATATATCCCCACCACTTCTCCCTCTCAACTTCCCACGCCCTCTTTATTTATTAACTTATTTCTATTTTTAGCTCACTGAGTCCACTTAGTGCTGTCTGTGTGGACGGCTGTGGGTCATCCACTGGAGTGTGGGCAGCTTCACAGTTACCACACTGGTGAGGAAAACTGACTCTGCCCCCCTCACCCCCAACAGTCATCAGATACCAGCAGCTACTCATACGGGGGTGGGACTTCACAAGCCCCTCCCACATCCACACTGGGATCCTATCTGGCTTGATGTGACCCAGGTCTTGTGTAAGCATTCAAAGCCACTGAACCCATGTATGTAATAATAGCACAGCCATGTCAAACACATGCTACTACCTCCGGCTCTTACACTCTTTTCATCCCCTCTTCTATGAGGACCAGTGAACCTTGTAGTCAGGAGGTGTGATACAGCCGTTCCATTTGGAGCTGGCTACTCCACAGTCTCTGATTCTATGCACATTGACTAGTTGTGGGTCTCTGGATTGTTATCTACTATAAAAGGAAGCTTCTTTGGTGAGGGTTGAAAGATCTACTAACATATAGGTATAAAGATAAGAACTTAGGGCACAGTTTATTACTATGTAATAATAATAATATTAATACTATAGTAGTAATAGTAGTTTCCCCCCTAAGGTCTATGACCTAGACAGTCACATATTTTTTATTTATTTTTTGTCTATTAATGGTATTAGGCATGGGTTCCATCTTGTGGGGTGGGCTAAGTCTAATCAGAAAGTGGTTGGTCAATCCCATAACCTTTGTAACACTGTCACACCACTAGGGCACATCTTGCCAGGCCAGTTGTTACTGTCGATCATGGAAGTCACAGCTATATATGACTTTTGATTACTGTTCTCTCCCATTAGCATGCAGAGCACCTTTCAGTACCGTGAAAACTAGCCAATAGGGATGGAAGCCTTGCCTTTAACTGATTCATTTCTTGGTAAGAATGGAAACCAGTGAGATAAAACATAGGTAATAAGTAATGACATGGGGGGGGGTCTGTTTGGTGTGTGTGTGTGTGTGTGTGTGTGTGTGTGTGTGTGTGTGTGTCTTCTGAATTTTACAACATTTCCCTAGAAGAGCAAGAATAAAAAGGTTACAGGTGTCAATGTCCTGGGGTGGGGGGGTTCAGGGGGATCAACTAATCAGCCTGGTCTGGAGGATGCTTAGTCCTCTCTCACTGTGATGCTTTCTCAAGTACTTCAGCAGCCTGCAGCTGCCCTTCGCTCCTGCTCTCGCTCCTGCTGATGGTCCCCAGCTGTGGATCGTTGGAAGCTCTCTTACCTTGGAGGCTGAGCCTGGGCACATGCGCTCTTCGACTAGCAGGTGCTGAGTCAACCACAGGTAGAACTGGAATGATATGGAAATGGGGGTGAGAACTGAAGGTCTTCTCCTGAGACAAACACAGAACACATCACCAAAGAGCTCAGCTAGCATCTGGCACAGGAGTCACAGCTTGGTCTCACTTCACCCACAGCCTGGACTCACAAACTGCTTGATTTTCAGGGAAACCTGAATCAAGTTCAGAAGGCTGACAGAAAGCTACCCAGCAAGATTCTGCAGTTCTAAATGTTTCCCTCCTCTTCACTCTGCAGAGACTCCAAGCTCTCCATGAGGATCCTTGGTGTTAATAAAAACAGTCACTGAAAAACTGGACCCGTGTTATAAAAGTCGAGGTGTTCTTCAGGACACTGGTTGTCTTCACTGACCCCAGAGGACATTATGTAATCTGGTGACTTGACTGCCCCACAACCCATCTAGATAGTGAGGCTGCACACGGCAGGACTGACGCTGGAGATGTTGCTCTTACCTGACAGGACAGTTGGTAACTTCTCACCATCCAGCGATCCTAAAACACACACAAACCGTTTGTCAGAAGCACTTTCTTTTCTCATTTTCTCACTTGTGAAACATTAGCAGCACTCTCTAAAGAAGGAATTGTACAGACAAGGTTACTAACACTTCACAGAGCGATTTGCTTCTGTGTCCCACTGTCTAGCAGGATTTGGGGCCAAAAACCCAGGGTGCGTCAAGGGAGATCAAAAGCCTGTCTCCTCCTTGGACATTTTATTTGTTCAATAAACAGTGCTTTGGTGTCTAGCATGTGGCAAGCACTGGGTAGGGACAAAAAGATAAGGAGCAGAACAGATGAACACCCTCCTGGTGGGTTAAAGTGTGGCCCTGCAGATGATACTGAGCATCACATCCTCCATGTATCCCTGAACAGTACGTCTGCCCCAGCCCTGAACATCAGCCCAGCCGTTCGTTCCACAGGCCTAGAATGCTGGGCATGGCCGGTGCTGTGTACCACACCCGAGTTTTGTTGTTTCAATTCATGGTCCATTGACCTACCGGATGGTGCAAGTGGACGGGTCAGGTCTTCTGGAGTGTGGGAAGCTGGGAGAGCTATTGAAGAAACAGTACAAGGAAACTGACTTGGGGTGGTTAATATGGACTAGAAGGAGGGGGACTTCTTTGATGCTTCAAGTTTGCTGAAAAATAATTTATTACCTTTCCATTCAAATTTTTTTGAAAGGAACCACACAGCCTTGATTGATATTATGCTGGACGTGAAGACATTGGATTTTCTGTGGTTTAATTTACATGAAATATCCAGAATAGGTAAATAAACACATAGAGGAAGAAAGCAAGTTGGTGGGTGGCAGTGGTTTAGGGAGAAGGGACAGGTGGCTGTGGCTAGTCGCAGGGAATGGTTCTTCAGCGGCTTATCTCCCTCAGAGCGGTGGCACACTGCCGTTAAACCGGGTCACACCGTAGGGCACCAGCCCCGCACCAGGCTCTCTGCTAAATGCTCTGCATTAGTCCTTCTAGCAGCTCCTTGAAAGAAGTGGTTGTCCCACTTTTCAGAAGAGATAAGTCAAGTACAAGGAGGTGACAAGCCATGGTGAGGCCACAGGGGGCGGAGGCAGCAGAGAGTTAGGTCCAAACCCAGCGTCCAGGTGTCAGCTCTGAGCAGAGTGATGCTGGCTGAAGAGGCACAGCTCTTCCCTTTCTGATCAGCTCCTAGTCAGTCACTCCGATGACTCAAGAATTTTAATGCAGCTTCTCTCTCTCTCTCTCTCTCTCTCTCTCTCTCTCTCTCTCTCTCTCTCTCTCTCTCTCTCTCATTTAGAAGTGAACATAAACTGTGAACAGGGTTCTGAATTCGTTACAGAATTTACTTATTTGTATATCTGATACTTTTGCCCAGAAAGACAAATGTGATCAGTGCCTTGCTCAGCCATCAGCAGAGAAGCTTCCTCCTGCAGCAGATGGGAACAAATACAGAGACTCATAGACAGATGTTACGCAGGGAGTGAAAGACCTTAGAACACTCAGCCCTAAATGGGATGTCTCCATCAAATCCCTCTCCTCAGGCCTCAGGGAACTCCAGAAGAGTGGGTGGAGAGAGTCTAAGAGCCAGAAGAGATGGAGGACACCAGAAAACAAGGCCCTCTAAATCAATACCATCAAAGCTCACACGGACTCACAGAGACTGAGGCAGCGTGCACAGGGCCTGCACAGGTCTACACCAGGTCCTCTGTGTATATAGTATGGCTTCCAGTTTAGTATTTTTATGGGATTCCTGAGTGTGTGAAAGAGTGGGTCTCCGATTCTTGTGCCTTCTTTTGGGCTCTTTTCCTCCTCTTTCTTTGTCTTGTCCAACTCCTATGTGACAGTTTTTGTTTTATCTTATTATGTTTTATTTTGTTATGTTATTTTTTTTTTGTTTTTTGTTTTTTTTTTTGTTTTTTTTTTTTTTTTTTTTTTTTTTTTTTTTTTTTTTTTTTTTTTTTTGTTTTTTTTTTGGTTTTTCGAGACAGGGTTTCTCTGCGTAGCTTTGCGCCTTTCCTGGGACTCACTTGGTAGCCAAGGCTGGCCTCGAACTCACAGAGATCCTCCTGGCTCTGCCTCCTGAGTGCTGGGATTAAAGGCGTGCGCCACCACCGCCCGGCTTGTTATGTTATTTTTAAAAAAGAATTTTAATATGGCTTCTCTCTTTTGTTTGGAAGTGGACATAGAAATGTAAACTGTGAACAGCCAGAGGGTCTGCATCCATTATAGAATTTGCTTATTTATGTGTTTGATACTTCTGCTGTGGAGCGCTGGTATATGGTTGTCATGCATGCATGTCAAGCACTCTCCCAACTGAGCTATACCACCAGTCTCTACAGGGCTGTTTCATTTGTTTATTATATAAATACTATATTTGTTAACCTTGTAGGCAAATTTTATAGATAAGGAAACTGAATCCTCTGAATGGCTAAATCACAGGGTTAGAAAATTATAAAGGGTTAAATGGTAAACAGCTCTGCTCTTACTGTGCAAAAGCTGCCATAATGATCTGTATATAACTTACTGTTCCAATAAAACTTTATTCATAACAAGCAGGCAATGGGTTATAGTTTGCTAATGTCCTGTAAAGATGATTGACACAGGGCTCAGACCTGAGTTTCTTGCCTTGCTCAGGAATCTTTGCGACTTTGGTCCAGTATGTGCCGACAAGTCTCTCATGCATGCTCTTCCCCTTAGGGGTACCATCCTTGCCCAGATTCACGTCTCCTCCTGGATTCCTTATGAAGAGCTCAGGCTTACTAGGTCCAAGAACTTTGATCCCTTCCTCCTCTCAAGAGCAGGATAAGGCTGGGTTCCTGCTGCTCAGAGATTAGGGACCTGCCTAGCCTGAGCACATCCAAACACAAACAGAAAGAAAGATACTGGGAGAGAGGGTTCTGTGGGGAAGAGCTTGTAGAGATCCTGGTCTCCACACAGATGGGGTCAGGTGGGGCCTTTGGGAGCTGACAAGGCCCTGGGGCTCTGCATCCTTAGGAAAGAAGTCCCCTCATTCTTGAGGCTGTGAGGCACATCAAGCTCTGCCACTTCTGAGGCAGTGGGGGACATCTTGTGTCCTCCTGTATCACTCTCTGCCACATTCCTTTAGACCAGGTCTCCCACTGAACTTGGAACAAGAATATCTACCAGCAAGTCCCAGTGATCTCCTGTCTCTGCCCCCTTCCTCCAGCCCACAGCTCTGGAGCTATATAGGCTTGTGTGAATATGCCTGGCTATTTATGTGGGTGCTGGGGATCTGAATTCAGGTCCTGACGCTTACATAGAAAGTGCCCCTACCCACTGATCCACCCCCGCCCCCAGACCCTAAGTAATTTTTCAGAAAACAACTTCATTGAAGTATAATCAGTGTACTATGTTTTCAATGTATACAGATTAATGAATTTGGAGCCAGAATATATCTGTGGAAGCATCATCATAAGTAAGGGAATGAATCTATCTCCCATCTCCAAGTTTCCCTGTGTTCTTTGTATATTTGCAGCAAGGATGCTTACCAAGAGCCGCCCCCTTCACAAAGTTCAAGTAAACAATACTGTGTTAGTGTCCTGTAGCTCTCTAGAACTCACTCATGTTGCTACAGAAGCTTCATGCCTGCTGAACAACAGTGTCCCACGGCCCTAAGTCTTCAAAAAAGACCCAGTGTGTACTTAATGTACACAGCACATCTCAGTCCTACAGTTGTGTTGTTTTTAAGTACTCGGTGGCCACATGAACCCTGCAGAAGGAAGGGCCTGCTTTCCACCAGCCCTGTCACACTCTGAATTACATAACTCATATTTGAATTACTGAAATGACAGTGGCCACAGGACTAAGGACTAAGGAAGTTGGACTGTAATGGTGACTCCTGCTCACTACATCCAGAACAATGTGAGCCTGTGACTCACCAGCTTAGGAGAAATTAAATTCTCCTATTTCAGATTCTTCCTTGACATTACTCAGTTTCTTTTTAAACTTTACTTTTTAGTGTTCAAAGAATGTGAAGTGACCATTTGGTAATTTCTCTTTCTCTAGCACAAGTGTATCCTTTCACGTTGTACTTTTCATTTGTGAAATGTGAAGCTTTGAGTTCCAGTGTTCTTGGAACAGTAAAACTAAAGACAGTCAAATACAAAGTGAAGCTGGCAGAGTTGAGTCCCTTTTCCTCAAATCCCATGATCTCAGGTAAAGCATTATGGGTAACTTGTGGTCTCATAACCCTTGCTCACCACCATAGACAACTTAAAAAACTACAGTCAATTCAGTGATGGTGGTGATGGGGTCCTACCTGATGCAGAGGAACTCGAGGCAAGTTTAGAAGATGGCTGAGTTGAGATGGCAGCAGGCAGAACTGGAGTAAAAAAAAAACTTAACAGTAATTGTTCATGGTGATTCAAGGACAGTATGGTGTCCAGGGCCCCCCTGTGACTTCACACGTATAATTTTTCCTCAGCTCTGAAGGGCCCACCACATAAGTGATAGAAGTGCTAACCTACCTCTTGGCCACTGATCTTCCAAGCCCTAGACTGAATCAGTGTTCCCTATCCTGTTTCTGTCAGGCTTTAAGTCCAAATGCAGGTATTAGATGCTCTTCAGTGATAATTATATTCTAAGAATTGGTCCGCGCAGACCTTCAAGGTCTCCTATTTGCTTCTTATGCTTATTTTACTCAGTGTCATGACTGGAGGTTTTTGTTAGTGTATTATACTATCTGTAGGTGTCACACTGCCTGTAGGTGCCGTACTAGTGTCTATAGTGGTCACTCTAGCTGTATGTGTCATGTCGTCTCTAGGTTTGTGCTAGTGTGTAAGTACAGCAGTGTAGAGGACATCAAACTACCTGTTGCTGTCGCTGTTGATTGTCAACTTAACAGAATCTAGAATCACCTGGAAGATGGATCTATGAGAATGCCTGCAAGATGTTATCACAATTGCATTAATTGAGATGGGAAAGCCTGCCCACTCTGGGTGGCAGCATTCCCTAGGTTGGGATTCTGAACTGTGTAAGTGAAGAAAGAGGGCTGAGCAGCAGCATGCATTCATCACTCTCTGCTTCCTGATTATTGATGTGATATAATGAGCTGCTTCAAGCTTCTGCTGCATTGATTTCCACACCAGGATGAACCACACTGTGAACTGTGAGCTAAATAAACTTTCTCCCTTACATTGCCTTTGTCGGAGTGTTTTATCACAGCAACAGAAAAGAAACTAAGACTCTTTTCTGCTGTGATGAACTGTACCTCTAAACTGTAACCCAAAAGAAACCCTTCCTCTTTTAATGTGCTCCTGTCACAGCGATAATAACACTGACCCAGAAATGGATCTTCCTTTTCAAGACCTTCCAGAATAAGCATAGCTTGGACGACACCTTGCCTTTAGCTAAGTGAAACCCATTTGAGATTTAGGAATTCTAGAACTACAAGGCAAAAAAAAAAAAAAAAAGTCTACATTGTTTAAACCATCAGATTATGACAGTTTGTTATAGATGCCATAGTAAACTCATACAATAGGCTAGTATCATGTGTGAGCAAATGCATTTTCCTCCAAAGGAAATTTAAAACACGTCGTTTATCAAAATTGAGGGTTATGAACTCCCAGAGCAGCTGGTCAAACTGAGCTGAACAACTAATTATGAAACCTACATAATCAAAACATTTTCTAATATTTTCTAAAATTTAAAGTACTATAAGCTCTTTTTTAGGCAGTTAGTGAGTCTATTGTGGTGATGTGCTGGAGGTCATTCCCACACAAATTTAATATCCAGGGAAGGTTAAGACAAATCTCTTGGGGGCACAACTGAAAACCTACCTGTACATCTTCTCTCTTGGATTTAGGTGGGTAAATATACATGCCCAGGAGAAACATCAATAACAATGATAATAACAATAAATCACTTACCTGATAATATGGTTGCTGAATTTCCATCACCTAGTGATACAAATAAATCAAGATATTTCTTACTCAATTCAATTGAGTGACTTTTACTTGGCATATTTATTAGTCTAATGTGATAGGTCTGAAATACAAAACAGGAAATCAATTCCTGGTAAAATGCAGGCTCTTGGGATTAACAGGACCCAAGAAATATTTGCTGAATTGATTGTTTTGAAGATTTTCTAGGGTAAAGCCTTTAAACATGGCTCTTTGGGAAAACTGAGAGTAAGTCAGTTACCACAGGAGTTCAGGGCCATTTGTCTGTCCTGAGCAGCTGTTCACAGCTAGGCACAAAGCAAGAGGATGGTGACATGTTCAAAACTGAGATATGTTCTCAGCTCATGCTTTCCTTGGAGCTGAGTGGACCTTCAGTGGACAACTCCGCTAATCTCTTCTATACATGATTAATCATTTTATAGAACGTCATTAAATTATATTACATATTATATCATGATAATTTAAGTGTAGAAGATGATATATCATGCAACATAGTTATTGTATATGTCAGATTATTATGTACTGATGTTGACTTACAATGTGGTTACATCCTGAAAAAGACCATTAAGTCAAAAGAGCTTGAGCTAAAATATCCTAAATGAAAAGCCTTGTGTGGTGGTGTGTGCTTGTCATCCAGCTCTGGGGAAGCAGAAATAAGTAGGCCTCTGAGGTTTGCTGGCCAGCTAGCCTAGCCTGCTAGGGGAACTCCAAACCAATAAGAGATCCTGATGAAGGACACCTAGGGTTGTCCTCTACATGCATGTGCATATGGACCCAAACACACATGTCCACACACACACATATGTGTGTGTACCCCACATGAGAACATGCACATACCTCCACAAAATATGGCAAACAAATTTTATACAACTAATCTACCAAACATCCAACTTTAGTAGCACAGCGCCCTATAGATACTGGTTGTTTCCTATGCTGACTTGTTGCTGTGGTTCACTGTGGATGCCCAGTATAAGGAAAAATTATTTTCTTGCATGTTATTGACCTGATAAAATTTAAAATACGAAGCACCAAAGTATGGTTTCTGTTTAATGCATATTGCTTTCTTACCATCATGAAGTCAAGAAGTCATGTCAAGGCAAAGTAAGTATACACACACACACACACACACACACACACACACACTGCTACAGATCTCAAATGGTTGATAGTAAAACACATATATGTGATAGACACATGTGATTATATATATATATATATATATATATATATATATATATATATATATACCAGAAAATCAGAAAGATAAGGGTAATGACCACATGGGCAGTAGGGAAATAAATGGAAAAACTACAAAACAACCAACTGACGCTTAGCTAGTTACTAATTACTAGGAATTGATTATTTTTAAACCCTGAGCCTCCTGGGACTGGAAGGGTGAATTGGATGGAAATCCTGCATAATGGACCACTCTGTGCTCGGTAAGTGGTGTTTGCTGAGAAGTCGCTGTCTTTGTTCATTGGTCAATGACTTCATTAGGATGCTATGCATGTGCTGGTCTTTCATCCCACAAGTATCTGTTTAGAAGCTGTGACTGACCAGGACTGCTCTTGGCTCTTAGATGAAGATAAGGCAGCCCTCTCTCACTAACTTCCCACCCTGGGGAGGGAGGGAAGGGGACAGAGGATGGGCAAGGGAGTAAAGCAAAACTACAAAGTCTCAGATTGGACAAAACAGATGGATCACATAGAATGCGACTGAGAGGGAGCCCATTTTCACTGTGTATTCCAAGGAATTCTCTCTGTGGAAGGGGTATTTTGTCTGAGACCCATGATAAGGAGAGTTTGGGACTGAAGGAAGAGCTAGGACAGGACCTAGCTGAGGACGATCTTATCTATTTCAAGGACTGGACAAAGGGTCCGAGGTGGATCTGATACAAGATGAGATGTTTTCTTCAGTGGTCAGAGACATGGGAGCCTTTGAGTGGTACATGCCTTAATCTAATCCCAGCACCTGGAGGATGGTGAGCTCAGCTTTGGCTCTGAGTTACAGGCCAGCCTGACTGTGTACATAGTTTACATAATTAGATGCACTGTGGGGGACGGGACACCAATGAAGCACCCTTTAGGAGGCTTTGAGCACAGAGGCATGATCCAGTTTACAATTATGGTGGGAAGGCAGCAGAGGCAGGTGGCTGCTGACAACACTGTTGTCGTCACTGGAAGAAAAGTGACAAGACTCTGGAAGGTGGCATTCTTGGGGCTGGGGGGATACTAAAGAGTTTAGCATATATTTTGAAAGTAGAGACATAATTTTCTGGTGTTATGAACAGAAAATTATGTAGAGTGAAGAAGGAGAAACAGGGAGTGTCTCCACTTTCTCCTGCTTAGATACACTCACTGAGCAGGAAGAATGAGGCTGCCTGTGGCATCAGGTGTCCACCCAAGCCAAACCGGGCATGACACCATCCAACCGGCTAGCACGATTCCCCTGGATGGCTAGTGACAGGGATCGGGGCAACTTGATTCATTTTCTAATTCTGTTTTATCATCCATAAAATGGAAATGTAAAAAGGACCTAACTCATAGGTTTCTTAAGAATATTAAATAAGTCATGTATAGAAAGTGTTTAGAATTAAATCATTTAATACTGAAGTCAGGAACCTATGGCTCCATCCTACCTCATAGCTAGCAGCCACCATCCCCCACCCTCGCTATGTGTGTGTGGGGGGGGGCAGGGGGATTAATATTGATATCAGTGTCTTCATCCATCATCTACCATTTTTTTTTTGAGACAGGGTCTCTCACTGAACCTGGAGCTCATCAATTCGGCTAGGCTGACTCTGGCCAATGAACTCCAGAGATCTACCTATTTCTGTCCCCTCGGCACTGGAGTTCCAGGTACACACCACCAAGTCCAGCTTTTATGTGGACGCTAGGTCTTCATGCTTGTGCAGGAGAAGTTTTTACCAACTGAACTGTAACCCAGCTCCAGAACCTGATTTTGCAAGAGAAATTTTATGTGGAAACAGACAGACCCATGAGTTCATGACCGCCTGTGGCTGGTTTCATGTTGTCTCCAGCTGATTAGTCAATATTATGACACCATTTGCCTGTGAAACTTAAATGTGCCAAAAGGGTTCTGGCCTCTGAATTAAGGTTCAAGTAGTGACTCTGTGGGTGAAGTTTCCACCCAGAACTGTCACACACTTCAGAGTGGTGTTGGTACTTGTCACCATTCCAAGTCTGTGACCTCTAACTGAGACATCGTACTGTGAGGTAGGTGTTTTGTCTCCTTTTCCAGAAGGACATAAATGGCCTGTTATGATCATTGACACTAATGGAGTGGCGGAAACGGAACCTAACCCTTCTGCTGCCAAACTCCTGAGAGAGGGGTGACTAAGAATGGAACATACAACACATTCTCTCCAAATTTGTCTCAGTAAGTGTTAAGAAGTCAGCATCAAATGAGGATGACGAGAAGAGCTTCAGCATGAAAACAACTCCTACCTTGGGGCCTCGCCACTGGCTCCTGGCCATCCCCTGTAGGGAGAGGGGTTGAGAATTAAGTGGCTGTTGGAACAAAAAAAGAGCTAATGGTAGTTAGGTCAGATTCTGTGCCCAGATATTTGCTTCACACAGTTCAGAAGAACATTCACTAGCCGGTACTCTGAGCAAGTCAGAGGACTTCCCTCTCCTTCTTAATGAAAGGGGGGAATGACTTCTGCTTTGACAGCAATTCCCTTAGGGAAAATGAAAATGGTAATATTGCAGAATAACTCAAACTTGAATAATTGAAACAAAAATGAAGCTAATTATTTAGAAGGATTAAAGTGAGCCAAATGCATTTCCTACTCAACATCTGGAATATCTTTAAGTTTATTTTTTAATTTTGTTTATTTTAAAAATATTTCTTTATTTTTATTGTATGTATATGAGTGATTTGCCTGCCTGTATGTCTGTACGCTGCATGAATGCCTGGTGCCCACAAAAGGTCAGAATAGGGTGCAGGATCCTCTGGAATTAGATGGTTGTAAGCTGTCATGTGGGTGCTGGGAACTGAACCCAAGTCCTCTGCAAAGGCAGCAAGTGCTCTCAACAACCAAGCTATCTTTCCAGTTCTTTTTATTTATTTATCTATCTGTGTGTGTGTGTGCTTGTGTGCATGCATACATGTGTGCGTATGTGTGTGTAAACCCTGGGAGGCCAGAAGAGAACACTGGATTCCCTGGAGCTGGAGTTACAAATGATGGCTGCTATGCTAGGGACTGAACTTGGGTCTTCTGAAAGAGCAACAGGAACTCTTAACCACTGAGCCATCTTTCCAGTCCCTCTTTCCAACTCTTATATTTTGTTTTTTGTTTTTTGGGGTTTTTTTGTTTGTTGTTTTTTTTTTTTTTTGTGTGTGTGTGTGTGTGTGTGTGTGTGTGTGTGTGTATTAGTATATGCATGTGGGTGCAGTGCCCATGGAGGCCAGAAGAGGGCATTAGATTCCCTAGGCCTGGACTTTGTGAGCCTCCCAACATGGGTTCTGGGAGCTGAACTTGGTTCTCTATAAGAGCAGTACATGTTCTTAACTGCTGAGCCATCTTTCCAGCCCTGGGTAATACCTCAATAGCTCAGGAATGCAGACATTGTGACCACTGGAATAGACCAATGGATGGCCACTTCCACCTAATCCTTTAACATTAAACTAGCGTTCCCTCCCATTTAGTATACAAATGTATCTTGGCATTAATAATGTGCTAAAAAGTAGTCCTGTGATTGGTGGAAATCTAGAGTTATGTTTGTATGCCTAGACCAGTGCTTCTAACTTAGGGGCAATTTGCTTTACAAAGGGACATATTAGAAGACATTTTGGCCATTACAACAGCATTGAGGGTACTACAGTTGTTCATAAATAGAGACCAGGTATGCTGTAAAATAGCCCCAAATCACAGGGCAGCCCTCTGCCCACCACCAAGACTGACCCCAAATGTCCACAATACTGGGAGAAGAAGCCCAGTGCCATACTGATCTCAATACTCTCCACTTCCTCAAAGATTTGTGATTACCAATACTTGCCATGAACTCAAAATTAACAGGACAAAACAAACTAAAGCGATTCTAGGTCATAATTCTCTTTGTGTATGTATGTGTATAGGTGAACATGTGTTAGGGGCAGAGGTCAGCCTCTGTCCAACTTGTTTTCTAGGCAGGGTCTGGTCAGTGGGCACATGCCACTGCTCCTGACTTTTTTTTTTACATGGGATCTTGGGATCAACTCAGGTCCACATGCCTACCTGGCAATCTCTTTACCAGTTGAGCTATCTCACCAGCTCTATTTATTTATTTATTTATTTATTTATTTATTTATTTATTTATTTATTTATTTATTTATTTTGAGATCTCCCCTGTGTGAATCAAGCTAGCTAGAAACACACTATGTAACGTGGCTGACCTTGAACCCTGAACTTTCAGCGTTCCCCCTCCCTTAGCTACCACAGTGCTATGCACTGCCACCAGGCTTGGTTTGCACTGTGAGTATTAGTGGGAAAATTTTATCTTCATTCATCACAATGCCCCTGAATGAGTCCCCTCACTAGTGGGTCTGGTTGTCTCCTTATGAGATGTCTTGGAATCCTTACAATGGAACTGCTCGTGTCTGCCACCATGTAAATTTCTGTGTAAAATCCATTTCAACATCTAGTGTCTAAAATACCTGAGCTCAAGTACTGAGCACTTAAATTATCCACAACTCTTTATGTCTCTGGTCTACCCTAGCAGCAGGGTCTATTTGTGATCACAGATGTGGATACAAAGCTCCCAAAGGGATTGGTGTAGGTGAAATCTTGATCAGATGATGCGCACTGTCAGAGGGAGAGGTGACTCTTACCTTCACAGATGACACTGGCATCTTCTCCAGGACCACAGTTATGCAAGTGCCAGCCAGCATGAGGACACTGTCCCAAAAAACTCTCTGTCCCAGTACAGCCCATCTCATCCAGCAGAAACTCGCCTGGGCCCTCACCAAACTGTGCCTGGACTGGGGCTTCAAGGGCACGCCCACAGTTCAGCTGTCGGCACACCACGTCGGCTTCATGCAGGTCCCATTGGTCATCGCAAACCCTGCCCCAATGGCCATGGTAGAAAACTTCTACTCGCCCGGAGCATCTTCCTGACCCATTCGTGAGCTGCAACTGTGGCCAGTCTTGAAGGTACAAAAGGATGGCTGGAAGCGAGCTACTCCACTTGGATCGACTTGCCTAACTACACACCAAACACTTATACAACAACACGTCGGAGCAGGCAGCACAGGGGATCCTATCATCAGCAGGATGGGCCTGAGCCTTCTTGTCACCAAGGTCAGAATCTAGCAGCAAAGGTGAATTCTGCCCCCTCCCAGCTGAGTTGGGATTCACAGGAAGAGCTGTGAGAAGTAGTATCTGGCACATTTAATCCTTCGGGTAGGTCCTGGTGGTGATAACTACCACTTTTCTAAAGTGAATCGTTTTAACAGAGAATTAAACGGAGATCTGTAAGCGTGCCAAGTGCCAGGAAGCAAAGGTGGTGATGGTGGTGTTCATAATGGTTTGAGAGTGGGTGATGGATGTAGGGTAGGGGTGTCTTTTCTAAGTGACAATGGACTCAAGGATTGGAGAGGCGTAGGAAGGAGTTACTTGGACCAGAAAGAAGGTAGAGCTTTCCTCAGCACAGTAAGAAAAACAAAACAATCTAAACAAAGTTCATAGAGTGTTATGAATGGGGTAAGTGCACAGGGATTCTCTGGTGACATCATTCTATTCACTAAGATCTGTATGGCTAAAGATCTACCCACTGGTTAGAAATACTCGCCAAATCACATCACACAAGGAGCTAGGAAATTTTGACTCACCACCAGGAAACGGTGTTAAGATTTCAGCATCTAAGAGCAAAGATAAATAAACAGGAGTCATTGCCATGAAAAAGAGCCCACCCAAGTGCACTGTATGTGTGGCAGCTTACAGAGTAGACATTAGCTGGCACCATGACTGCATGTGGGAAGCGGGGGTGGTGTTCAGTAGGACTGGTCAGTGAAAACTGATGATGAGTTCAGGCAGCTCAGAGTCATTCACAAACGGGATTATGTGCACAAATACATTAACTTCCAGAGAGCAGGATTATGTGCACAAATACATCGACTTCCAGAGTGCAGCAGAGTCCAAGGCTTACTAAAGAGCACTGCTGTGGTAATCCCAAAGGAGGATATCAAGAGATTTGGTTGTTAGGTAAGCCAAGGCTTCCCCTTTCCTCCATTAACATGTGATGGAGGAACTCGAGGCACACGTTGTCCTGGGACTCCACTCTCTGTCTTCATATGTCTGAAGTTAGGATTCCTTACTCAATCTGAGTTCAGTTGCACCTTTGAATTATAATTTGCCAACCCAGATCCTTGTCTCCTCCAGAATTCTCTGAAATACGTTTGGGCAACAGGAACAAAGTAGTTTGGGGATGAAATACTACCCGTGTGGTTGAAGCCAAGGAATTGACCTTTTCATTTTCCTTTCTTTTGTTGGGTCCTTGTGATTAAGCCTGTGTTTGTCATCTGCACCCCCCCACCCCACCCCCACCTGGGTTACAGTAGCAAATGAGATCAGATGACCAGGGGAGCTGGTGGGCGCTCTACTAAAGACGTGCTAAGGTCTTGCTCTTACCAATATCTCTTGAAGTTTCAATTTCTGTGGGAATGTTTTCAGATTCTGTGAGGAAGAAAAGAAGGCAGAACACAAGGTGAGTCTGTGGGAGAGGATAAAATCCGCCATGTCCTGCCTCGCCGAGTGGCTTGCTGCTGCTGCTGCCCTAGTGCCCTGTCCCCAGCAGAAAGCTCTGCCTAGAATTGGTCACACGGGGCTAGTTCAGAAAGGGCAATGCTATCTAGGAAGGAGGGTTCATTTGCCTTTGATGGGTGCTGGTGGGGATGTCAGGGGGAACTGTGAGCAGGGTTTGCCCAGGTCTTTCATTGGGGGTTGGTTTTGGCTTGGGATTGGAGCTGGATGACGCCAGGCTAAATGAGCACGTTTTCTTAAAGGATTTATGCTACCAGGTCTTGGGTATTTCAAATGCTGTTTCGTATTAAAATAAATGCAACTTTGGTATTATTTATACTTTGAAAGCGAATGGGATTCCAGAGTCTCTGCGGAGGGCAGGCAACCCCGGGGTTGTGCTGTTTAAGAAGGTGACTGATTCTCTCATGGGCGTTTGTTCTCTCACTGACAAGTCAACTACTCATTTTCCCAGCCAGCATCCTCTGTCTTTCTGCCTGTATCAGGAAAGGTGGGCACTTAAGGAGTTGGAATAGGGAATCTGAGGATGAAGGCTTTGCTTTAAATAAACCAGGACAGGGTAGCTGGCAGGGCCGGGGGAAGGGGGGTGTGAGCAGGGTGTCTCCCTGTACCTGGGGATCTTGTTAATAGTGTGTGTATATTCCTAGGTCCTTATCCTAAGCAGATGTTATGGATGAGACTACTAGCAGAATAACACAGACAACTGTGGATGCTCACACACTTTGCTAAGGTTCGGGACAGCTTTTCCAAAGCATAGGCATATTTGGTGGGGAAATGGGGCATTGGGTATGGCTGCCTCAGGCCCAAATGTGTGCTGGGTGACCTTAGTCAAGAAGGCATTCTTCTTAACCTTGACTTAATTTTGTCCTTTAATTTGGGTTTCTCTATTTTCAAAACAAGAACAATAAAACAATCCCACCTGAGTGATAAGGATGGGGTTGGAGACGGATGCAAAGTACTTACAGAACTGCCAAGTGCCACATGAGCAGACGGGATTTATGCTTTGAGGCAGTCTCTTAGGCAAAACCAGTCAGAGATTTGTTTCTAGGATATTAGGCATGCTGTGATTCAAATTCTAATTCAACATATCCACCAAAATAGCAAATTTACAAAAAAAAATCACAGGACAAATTTAATCAACTTCAATTGATAGAAAAGAAAAGCAAATGGGGCTGGAGAGAGGGCTCAGAGGGTAAGAGCACTGGCTGTTCCTCCAGAGGACCTGAGTTCAATTTCTAACCAGATAGTGGCTCACAGCCATCTATAATGAGATCTGGTGCCCTCTTCTGGCAAGCAGGCATACATGCAGGCAATATACTGTATATATAATTAATAAATAACTCTTTTTTAAAAAGGACAAGGAAAGAAAGAAAGAAAGAAAGAAAGAAAGAAAGAAAGAAAGAAAGAAAGAAAGAAAGAAAGAAAGAAAGAAAGAAAAGAAAAAAGAGAAGAAAAGAAAAGAAAATCAGATAAAATTATTAGAAAGTGCTGGGCCCTGTCTGACACTTGGATAAGGAGTTGTAGACAATTTCCTGTCACTATAAAAATAACTGTTAATCAACTATCAATGCACTATTAATTTATAATTAGTCACTGATGTCAATATCTCCACCTGCACATGCTTGATTCTAAAGCTACATCCTGTGCTACTGTCATCTGGTTCTGGAACAGGTTTTACAATAGAGAGCCATCCGGTGCCTTGTATGAGGTTTAACAGTGTCCCTGGATGTTACCACGGACACCAGGAGCATCCCCAAGTGTGGCAATCAAAATGCCCAAATGCTTCCTAGGACACAAAATCAACTCCAGCTGAGAACAACCACAGAAAGATGTACTTGAGAAGGGCTCTTAAATCCCCCAAAGCAAGGTCTATACTTATTCTAATTGGCTAACTAGACTGCTCTCAGTCCCTCCCTCTCAGGGTACCTGGTCCAAGAAAGTGCAACCTCAGAAAGCAGTCCAGTCTGCCTTCTGCCCACCAGGGCTGCTCAGAGGACCCACATGAGGCCAGTGTGAGTTCTGCCCCACCGTGGCAGGGCTGAGGGCTCAAGGGAATGCCTTCAGAAGCGGGTGGTCCATGTTAACCTTAAAGTAGGTCTCAGAGTAAGGATAATCAGAGGAACTTCCTTCAACAGGCTGAGTGCTTGTCTCTTGGCCAGTGAATGAAGCCTTAGTTCTTGCCTTCTAGAAGGCTGAACCTTGACATATGAGCAGAGGAGACTCGGAAAGGAGTCTCTGGTTCAGCAGTTAGCAGCTGGTGAACGAGGGGGGAGGAGCTTTCTTCTCTCTCCCACCCAACTCTACACCTTGCTTTATCATCCACAGCTGGTTCCCCAAGGCCAGAACTACTCTGTCTCTGGGAGCTCGATTCCCCCAAAAGCAGAATTTTAGAGACCATGTTATTGGCAGCACGGCTCTCAGGATATAGGTACTGAGTCACAGTGATTACCGTCACAATGATTGCTTTCATTTAATTAGAAAAAAAGCGAAAAGATATGCAATGCCACGCCAAGCATAGAGAGGTGAGTGTGGGGAGAGAACCCGCAGAAGGTTACCCAGGGATGCCTCCCTGCAGTCCTGCAGGGCCCATAATTAGAAGGGGCCCATCCTTTGGAGCTCGGATGTCTTTGTCTAGAAATTTCTCATAGCTCTCACACTAGGACCCACAAATCACATAACCTTGCAGGTGGCCTGAGTGTTTTCATTTCCAGTCTGTCACTCTAGCGCTGATGTTGGCCACCTAAGCGGATGCAGGAGGACTGGGGTAGAATAAGAGGTCCACATTCCGCTGCCCCCCAAACCCCATGAAGGAGAGGCTCCGTCATGCTAGAAGGTGCCTGGGACCGTGAGCAGACAAGGCTTTTGATCCCGCAAGGCAACATGCTACAAAAGTTTCCTTTGGGTCGGGGAGGATTGAATGATTGGATAAAGTGGAAAATCATCTCTTGGGAAAGATGGGAAGTGATTTACCGGAGCAGACGACACCAATGTCTTCCTCGTGCCCACAGTTGTGGATGAACCAGCCAGCGTGCGGGCACTGCCCCAGGGAGACCTCGGTCCCAGAACACTGCACATCATCCAGAAGAATGGGGCCGGAGCCCTGGCCAAAGTAGGCCTCTCCCAGGGTGGACACGGCATCCCCACAGCCCAGCTGCTGGCACACGACCTGCGCCTCCTTCTCGTCCCACAGATCGTCGCACACTGTGCCCCACACGCCTTCAAAATACACCTCCACTCGGCCAGAACACCTGTTAGAACCTTCCACGAGCTGCACAGGAAGCCAGTCTTGGGGAGAAAGGCAGTCCCCACCCCCACCTGAGTGCTGGCGAGTAGAGTGGACTCCCCCTCCCACTTCCCGGGAGTACCACCTTTGTTCCCAGCACATGATTAAACCCTTTACACGGACATCTTTGTAAGGTTCCCGGATACCATGTAGGGTACTATTGTACCCATTGTACCAGGGAAGGAAAAATCACAGTAGCAGCAGCCTCCTGGGGGCAGAGCATTAACTAATGGGGACCAAAATGAGACTCCCTAGATCTCCTTAGATCCTCATTTGGGATAGAATTACCCATGAAGTCTGGGTCCTGTTGTGATGGGAAGCCACAAGACTTGGCTTTGTTCTTTTCAGTCCACTTTTTGGACTACCTTTTTCATTCTGTGCCCCAGCCACCACCTACTCCAGCAAGAAAATCTTCATCTCAGAAGATAGAAACTGTCCAACTCTGGCCGCTTGATATTTCAGTCTGAGAATTTGGATTCTTGGGTCATCCCTGTGCCCTGCAGTGTTGGGTCAGAGGTGTTGGGCAAAGGCAAAGCTTGAAGAGTGCACTCTGCTGCGCAGAGACAGGGCAGGGCTGCCCTCCTCTGCCACTCCACTCACACTTTGACCTGCCAGCACTTTGCTGGGCAGCGGCCTAATGGCTGTCCCACGTTCTCAGGGGCAGCAAGCTTTGCTAAGAGGGCGGATAGGAAACCACCAAGGGCAGGGCTTGACTTGGGCAGTCACTAACTATGCGATCCATCTATGGGGGCCACCTAGATTCTCTTTTCCTCATCTGCAAAAGAAAACGGTGCCTTAAAGGGTGGTCCTGAGGCAAATACAGGCGTAGTGCCTGGCACAGAGGGAGTACTTAGGAGTCACTTTTGCTATCTCCATTTTATGAACCAATAATTAGGTAGATGAGGACTGTTCTGCATTCCCCAAACTGCTGATGGAGAGCTGTGACAGGGGAGGGGCAGAATGCTCTCCTGCTCTCTCTCTCCTCTTCCCAGTCACCACAGAGCAGGACTTCAAAGTGTGGCCCTCAGACAGGCCCTGTTCCCATCTCTGAGAAAGCTTGTTAGATATGAAGGTTCTGGGGTACACCCTGTCTGGGGATAAGGCCCATGACTTTGCATGTTCAACAAGTTCTTAGCAAGTTCTCGAGTGATTCCCATGTACTTCAACATTTAAGAACACTCTTCGTCACTAATGCATAAGAACCATGAAGGCAGAGAAGGCTCTGGCAGCCTCTGTTGTATTAGGCACAAAAACCACCAGGGTATGTTTATGTCTGAGGATGAGTGACTCATCCCACTGAGTGTGGACTGTCCATCCCCAGGGACTTCGGTGTCCTTCTACCTCAAGGCATTTTCTGGCTGGGACTCACCTTCTTGCTGTTCCACAGACATGTCTTGAATGGTTCTCTTAGGCCTTTCCTTCCCCAACTTTGCTCCAGATCCTCTGATGTCCCTCCTGTAGCAAGCTGAGATGTAGCCGCCATGTTAGAGCCCTACAGGGACCCTGAACACAGCCAGCCCAGGCCCCGTGGAAATCTCCTGGGTCTTGCTCCAAACCCACCACTCCCCAGGCACAGCAAAGCCTGGGAATCTGAAATTTGCAGTCACCCAGAACAGGGTGCCACCAGGGAAGGACCAGGTGCTCTGGAATCCATTTCCTTATGGTGCAGTTGGTCTTAAAAGTCCCTTTTCCTGTCAGTCCTGCATCAATTTCAGCTGGCCGGTTGTCAGTCAGTAGATTTCATTATGCTTCTCTAGCTGTCCGTAGTTAATGTCGGATTTTGTTAAGGAAGTAACAGTTTACATATAAATTCTACTATGCTCTTAGTTAGTTTGCTGTTTCTAACACTTCTTGAACTGGCTTTTTATAATTTTTCCTTTTTAAAAAAATTTCTATTCTTATTTTCTTCATAATTTTACATTGTTTTTTAATATCTCTCTCTCTCTCTCTCTCTCTCTCTCTCTCTCTCTCTCTCTCTCTCTCTCTCTCTCGGATGATGTCACTCTATGTAGCCATGGCTGGCCTTATGCAGACCAGACTACCTTGAATTCACAAAATCTGCCTGCCTCTGCCTCCCAAGCACTGGGCTTAAAGGCGTGGCCCTGGTTTTTGTCTTTTAAAGGTAGACTTGGCTAATAAGAAGGTATTTGGTTTCTACTCAGACTAAATATAGCAGGGTTGTTGTTGTTGTTGTTGTTGTTGTTGTTTTTAAACTGATTCCTGACTCTTCCTGTCCAGGAGCAACAGGAGCAATAACTTTTCTCTAACATCATCAATTACAAGCCAGGATTATCTCCACAGCAGTCCCCCTGGTGAGTCTACCTGTCATTCAGCCCATACCTCTGCTTTAGCCATTGGGAGGAGGTGGCTCCCTGCTCAGTAGACCACAAAGAATCCAGGCCTACGGTACTGTTGGGTCAGGGTAATTTTACAACTGCCTAATTAATGGCCAGGTGTCCGTGGAGCGAGTCTGCTGTGCTTGGGCATTGGATCATGGCCTGGCACAGATCAAAGGTGACCCAGTCCTCTGTCCTCGTCACAGATGAACAACCACGTGAGGCAGTATACAGCCCCACTGAGCAGAGGTAGGAGTTAGGCTGCCAGAGACTACAGGGCTCTCTAAGGTACTGCTGGCCTTTCTTCAGTGTTCACAGTGTGCCCCTTCGTGTCTAAGCACTGCCCATCCCTGTTCTGAGCTGACGTGGAGAGACCCTGCCATCATTTGCATGCCTGTATAACAGATGAGAAAGGAAGGACACAGAGAAGCGTGGGCAGGGTGTGCCCACGGTTGGTTCGGGAGGACATTCAGCCTCTGAAGTTTCTGGCCTCCCCAGTGTCCTCTTCCTCTTGTCCACACTCTATGGCTTGGCTTTGGCTCTGACTCTCCTCCTCCCAGACCTCACATGCCACTACATAAGTCAGGTCTTCCACTTTCCATTTACCCAGTCTTCCTCATCCCCTTGAGACAGTCTGGAACAGCCTCTAACTCTCCATCCTCCTGCCTCAGCCTCGTAAGTGCTGAGATTGGTACCATACCTGGCACCAATTACTTTTCATTAATAATATTACATCGGTGTATATTTTAGGGAGGAGGGAAGGAAGGAAAGAAGGAAGGAAGGATCTCTACTGCTGCTGTATGAACACATGGCCATCAAAGCAAGGAGGGGTGTGTGTGTGTATGTGTCTCTGTCTGTCTGTCTGTCTGTCTGTCTGTCTGTCTGTCTGTGTGTCTATCTATCTGTCTGTGTGAACTGCCATTCTTTCAATCACTTTCCCTAATTTAATTTCTCTTAGTTCATGTCACCTGCCTACTCATAAGAAAGGCACATTAGCATCATTTTGATGACAGTACTAGGTCCTAATTATCTACTCGATAAAGGTGGAAGTTCTTAGCCTGGGCTTTAAAACCCTCTGTAATTAGACCACGGCTTCCTTCCCAGCCCCCGTCTCATTGGTAGGTTGTTCTTTCCAAAAAAGAAAGCTCATCCAGACCACCTCTAGCTCTTCTCTTGAACTATTAAAATTCCCACATACAGCCGGGCGGTGGTGGCGCACGCCTTTAATCCCAGCACTCGGGAGGCAGAGCCAGGCGGATCTCTGTGAGTTCGAGGCCAGCCTGGGCTACCAAGTGAGTTCCAGGAAAGGCGCAAAGCTACACAGAGAAACCCTGTCTCGAAAAACCAAAAAAAAAAAAAAAAATTCCCACATACAAACACAGCTTCCCAGCCATTCAGAGCAGACCGACTCTCAGCTGTTGGCTGTGGTTGTAGATTCCAGGGGGCAAACTGATTGAGATAACACAAATTGACCCAAAGGTGCTCTTTGCTATACATGCTGCAAACAAGAAAGCCAAGCACCAAGGTCCCTGAGATGCCATCCACACAGACATTGTCTGTTCCCTCAGATAACCAGTGAACCAGTGGCCCAGGGGACATGGAGGAGACACCCGGCAAGCTTTCAAAGAGTTGACTCCCCAAACAAGGCAGTTTCAAATGCAGCTTTTCATGCCTATAAAATGGGCCTTATTTTCCCTTTGCCCATTGCCAAGCCTGGGATCCCAGACCAGTTGTTTGTATGAGTGAGAATGGGCAGGAGGACCACTTTGTCCCTAGTAATAATCAGTCATATTCTTCAAATACATTTCCCGAGGCTGTGAAGTCTGCTGTGCTGGGAATCTGAAGTGTGATCAGTGGAATACTGAGTAGCGCCGGAGGGTAAGTGGAGGCAGGTTGGGGAGGGGTTTTAGTGTTAAGCCAAAGGTGTTGAAGAAACAGGTTGAACTTCAAGGTGGGAGAGGATAGAGGTGGGAAGGGAGGAACAGATTCCTTAACCAGTGGTGGCTGCAGAAGAATGGAAGGAAGAGTGGGAAAGAGCTGCCCCAGGTGCCAGGGAGGGGACTGACTAACGGAGGGGAGGGAGAAGACAGGTTCAGAGCAGCCACAGGGCTGAGTTCTGTGCTTGGAGTGTAGGGCTGGTGCTGGGTAGAGTACACCAGAAAGCTGGAGACCTGGATGGGTATTATGATTAGAGATGATTGGCAAAGGTCAGGAAGCAGATTGAACCATTGGGGGAAGTGATCAGAGGGGCCAGTGTGAGGTGAGGCAGGCCACAGGGCCAAGGAAGAAGTACCTGAGCTCACAGATGCTAACCAACAGATTCCATCAGCTCTGTCAAGAAAGGCTAGCAATCACATTCCTTTAAAAAGATAATGCCGGGAAGGAGTTGGGTAGACTGGGGTTAGGAGGTGAGGGGAGCAAGGATCTATGACCACCACGTGGCCAGAATCTGGCTGTGGGAAAGAGTGACCTCCAGGGGTTCCACAGCAGGGAGGATTAAACCTTCTGTTTGCTTGTTCTTTGAGTCATTGTCTCACCAAACAGCCCAGATTGGCCTTGGATTTACAGTCCTCCCCTCAAGCTCCTGGATGCTATAACAGGTGGTCACCACTGGGCCCAGCTGCAGTCTCTGTAAGGGAGAGGGACTCTATCGCTGGGGTCCGAACCTAGGGCCACACACAGGCCAAGCCTGTACTCTACCACTGAGCTACACCAGCTCTTGATCTTTCATATGGAACACTGACAATCTCCCAGTCTCGGGTAAGACACACTGCAACTCTATGCATCCCAGCCCGAAGCTGTCCCCACGCCTCTTCTTCAGAACCCCAGGGCAGCCAGCACTGGGGACAAATGGCGTCTGGCCTGTTTGATTCCCAGTGTTTGGGAAGTATTGGTTGGAAACATGAGTTAAGTAGCCAGGAATTCAGGAAGATTTAAGGAGGACTGGGCAAGGACATAACAGATACCCCAGGAAGGAGGATAAGATTGAGAACAGTGGATGGGACAACAAGGCAAGGTTCCTTTAGGAAGAGGACATGAAGGAAAGTATTTGAAGCAAGTTGGTCAATTGTGGTGTTGTGTATGATGAATGTGTATGTGTGAGTGTGTGGATGTGAATGAATGATTATGTGTGGGTATATGTAAAAGAAAGTGAGGATGTGAGTGTGTGTTTGTGTGTGTGTGTGTGTGTGTGTGTGTGTGTGCATGCTGGTCACTAATGTCAACTTGACACAAGCTAGAATCATCTGAGAGGAGGGAGCCTCAACTGAGAACTTCTATCTGTAAGACTGGGCTGTATGCAGACTTGCAGGGTATTTTCTTTATTAGTGATTGATGGGGGAGGGCCCAGTCCATTGTGGGTGGGCCCATCCCTGGGCTGGTGGTCCTGGGTTCTATAAGAAAGCAGGCTGAACAAGATAGTAAGCAGCACTCCTCCATGGCCCCTGCATCCATTCCTACCTCCAGGTTCCTGCCCTGTTTGAGTTCTTGCCCTGACTTCCTTCAATGATGAACTGTGATTTGGAACTCTAAATGAAATAAATAAACCCTTTCCTCCCCAAGCTGCTTTTGATCATGGTGTTCATCACAGCAGTAGAACCCCAACTAAAACAGTATGTGTGAATGTATGTGTGAGTGTTTGGTAAGGGTGAGTATTGATATCCCAGGTCCTCATTGCATTCAGCAGGGTAGGTGACATTTGCTTAGCATTTGACCAGAGCTGCATGGGACAGCAGGTGGGCACCCTTCAGCAGCCTCTCTAGAAGGAGAGTCAGTTGACCACAGTGGCCTTGTAGAGACTGTTTCCCTATTTAAGTTGGAGAGTGTTGTGAGCTGAAGCTTCCAGAAAAATAAGGACATTTGTGTTGAAGAGACCACAAGGCTGGCTAGAACTTCGTGACTGTGAACAGTCGGAAGGTTGCAGATCAAGAATCAAAACCATCCTGAGCTATTTGTAATCCCCTAACAGTCATTTATCACCCACCTTCTGCATTGGACCCAGCATACTTTTTGAATATCAGCTAAACTCTGGAATATATTCTTAGCAGACCACTAGCTTCCACCAACTCGAAGGCTACGAATGCCATCAGACAGCACCTGAGTCCCAAGGCGGGGATTTACCCACTGTGTTAGAACTGGCCTACACTACACCTCCAGCAACAGCCCTCTTAGGTGGCTACCAAGTTGTCCTTTGCACTTTTCATGTGAATTGCCCCAGTAACACCCAAGGCTCCAGAGATCTGCAAGCTCCATAAATCTCTTCTATCGGTACATGACCTTCGGGGAGTTGGACTGTGTCCCTGGGTGGCTGTTCTTGGAAGGTCACACTGGCCCCATTGTCTATTAGGCTCTGGTGCAATCTTTAGGAGCCTGGCAAAGCCTATTGCGCCATATCATGTGACTAATCCTTGGTTCTTGGAGGCTCAAGAGCTCCCCCGCCTGAAAGCTGTAAAGGACTTACACATGTCAGCGGAGAGATGCAGCAAGGGCACGGGCGGGGACAGGAAGGTTGCAAAGAGTGCAGAGATAAAGGGGGCACCAGGGGCTAGAGGTAAAACCAGCCCCGCTGATAACTGGGACTTGCAAATGGAGTCTACCAGGTCTGCTGAGCTGCTTAAACAGCCTTAGATCTGCAGAACACGGGTGAAAAACAAAACAAAACACTCGTAATCCTCTTAATTTTGTTTTGGGAGGGGCTTGTGGGCAGAGGGGGCTCAGGGTACAATGTTCTTGCTTTTCCGTTCATGTCCTCAGCGTCTTTAAGCGGGGTCTCCGTGGCGCCAGGAGAAGTGCTGCCGCACGAAGCCACAGAGCAGTGTGATTGCTGAACATGGCAGACAGCTCTAGCGCTTAGTGGGACGCCAGCCAAGTTCAAAGTGGACGGAAGCAAGGCAGAGGAGAGAGCGGAAGGCTGTGGCCGGCTTCCACCGGTGCGGAATCACAGCCGTCACGGAGATAGACTTTTCTTACCGAGACTTGAGTTTCAGTGTGATGGAAGTGGGACTCAGGCAAAGTTAGGACCAGGACCTGGTCATACCCCAGGAGCACTTCCCAAAAGTAGCCCCCACTGTGGCTAGGGGCAGATCTCACTGGGCATCTTCTGGATTGGGTCAGGAGTCACTTTCACCCGCGCTTAGGGTTGGCATCCCAGCGCCAACACTATCTCTTTGAATAGATTCAACCTCAGCATCGTCTTTGCCACAGTGGAGCTAAAATGACGAAACAGACCTCTGAGTTCTCCCAGCACATTCCCAAAGTTCTTAGGTGCCAGGAGACCCCATCGGTTCCCACATACCAATGGCATAGTTCACAGATCCTCAGTGTTTACCATGAACAACGCAGCTTGTTATTCGTGGAGAAAATAAGGAAAAGTTACTTTTCTGCTATATTTTGAAAGTTAAATCTATTACTTGAAAATCACTACTGAGGGGTTGGGGAGGTGACTCAGAAGTCAAGAGCATAGACTACTCTTGTCAAAGACCTGAGTTCAGTTCCCAGCACATGCACTGAGCTGCTCACAACTGCCCACACCTCCAGCTCCAGGGGATCTCACCTCTTGTCTAGCTTCTGTGGGCACGGTACTCAGGTGCACATGCCCACACAGAAAGACACACACAACTAACAGAAGAAAGAAAGAAAAGAGCCACTCAAATATTGAAAGGGGAGACTACCCTGATTGCTTGGGGGAACTTAGAGAATGGAGTTGTTATGGCTAAGTGTCACATTCTGCGTCTGAGATTCAACAATTTTATTTCTTCATTTGAGATGTACAATTTGTAACACAGAGCATCTATAACAGCAGTTAGATTGATCGAGCACTTTCTGTGTCTGAGGGACCCTTCCAAAACTTTGACTAACATCATTTTATTAAATCTACCTGAATACTTCATATATCATATCCTTTTGTAGGAGAGGGCACAGCAGCATGGGGATTCAAAACTTGCTCCAAGTTCTTAGGGCTGGAAAGTGCTCACTAGAGCTTGAATGCTCTAGAACAATGGTTCTCAGCCTTCCTAATGCTGTGACACTTTAATACAGTTCCTCACATGGTGGTGACCCCAACCATAAAAGTATTTTCATAATCATAATTTTGCTAATGTTATGAGTGATAATGTAAATCACTATGTTTTCTGACGGCCTCTATGAAAGGGTCCTTCAACCCCCAGGTTGAGAACTGCCACTCTAGATCTTTGTGTCTCTAATCTGCATTCCCAGGCTCAAATATTATAGGACATGTAGACTAAAAAGAAGACACAACGCACCCGAGAAATCATTTAAGTCTTCCTTACGCCCTAGTACAACTTATCTGTTTTTCAATAGTGGGAATATTTCATGAACATATGCATACAATTATCTATAATCAAGTTATTTGTTTCTATGAATATTTCCAAATATTCATTTGTTTACTTTCTCATCTATACGCAAGTGAGAAAACTAAACAATAAAAGATTTTTAATATTTTCCCCCAAAGCCACTGAACGATGATAAAAATAATCATGATTATGTAAATATTTCAAGTTAGTTTAGTCTCAAATTAAAAGTTTCTTAAGCAGACTAGTAGAGAATACACATTTAAAAACCAAGAATATCAAAGGGATCGACCTGGTTTTCATAAAGTACAGATTTTTCAGAAAAGAAACCTTTCTAAGCCAAGTTCTGATAATTTTATGTCATATCCAATATTTCAAGCCAGGATGTTTTTATGGACATTTTCCAGATCCATCCAACACTAGAAAAGAAATGCCAACTATGGTTCAATATTCTTAGTGAGCGCTATACACCAAGATATGAACACCCGAACCAAAGAACACTTCAAAGTCCCTCACCGGCTCATCTTGGCCAATAAATAGCCCTTCTTCTCTGTTTCCCTCCAGAAATTCTACAAACAGAGCCACAGTCTATGAAAACAATAAACTGACTGATGCTTTGTTCACAGAAAACAAATCTTCCATGAAATAGTTGACTCAGCTTCCATAAAACGGATCAAGGTGGTGTGCAGCTCATCTCCGCAACGGCGTCTCGCCAGTGGTCGGATTACGTTAAACAGAGCAACCCCTCCCTTGTTTACTTTTAAGCTGGTACATCAGAGGACAGGGGACAGATAGACCCACACTTTCTCTTTCCAGTTTGTCACAAGGCATTAGCTGTGTAAAGAGCCCTGGGGCATTGGCTGGGTACCTGCTTCAGGTAGAATCACGCCGTGGAAGAACAGCAGCCAAAGTAGGCGGGCGTGGCGGCCCATGTTGGGAGGGCTTCCAGCTACTGGCTAGCCTCAAGTTCCAGCCTTATATTCTCTCCAGGCTCCCTGGTGGGAGTGGCCTGGCAGCTTGATGCTCTTCTCCAGCTTAATTGGCAGGCATCCAGAGCAGGGCACAGCAACACATTCGCTTTGGCGTCTTGAGGGTTTGCTCTGAGGAGCAAGAGTGATTTGACCTAAAGGTACATTCCTTTAGAACAGCTGGAAGTCAGGGCTGAACAGTGGGCTGGCACCTGGCCTGGCAGATAGAAGCCTCTAGGCTCTCAGGGGAGAGAAGCTAGGAGGAGTCTAGAGCCTCCCTAGGGTATCATTTCCTGTAGCATATGGCTGTTCCCAATGCAAGAGGCCTCTAGAATCCTATTTATCACTCAGGGCCCACAACCTACCTCTCTCCTTTTCTTGAACTTCCCTATTAGTCTTCAGCTACCTACACTTACTCCGTCTTCTAATTCCCATTGCACTCATTAAGCGTGTGCATTTAACAACACTCAGTACATTCTGCCTTGGTTATGATTGCTTGCACTCCAGTCTGAATTCCTCCACTGGCCTGTTCTAGTTTGCTTTCTATTACTGTGATAAGCACCATGACCCAAAGCAACTGGGGGGTAGACAGAGTTTATTTCATCTTGCAGCTTATGGTCTATCACTGGGGGAAGTCATGGCAGGAACTCAAGCAGGGCAGGAACTTGGAGGCAGGACCTGAAGCACAGGCCATAACGAAACACTGGCTTTGCTTTCTTACAGAACTCAGGACCACCTGCCTGGGGGAGCACCACCCAGAGTGAGCTGGGCCCTCCCACATCAATCATTAATCAACAAAATGTCCCACAGGTTGGCCTACAGGGCCATCTGATGGATACATTTTTTTTTCAGTTAAGATTCATTCTTCCCAGATGACTGTAGCTTGTGTCAAATTGACAAAAACCAGCCAGCATAGGCCTAGAAGCTTTTTCAAGGCAGAGGTTTTCTTCAGATTTTTGTAGTCTTGTTTATGGCATGCATAGCACAATGCCATAAATATCTATTGGATTTCAATTACTGCTTCCTTCATAGGTAATTTTTCTCTACCTGAATAGTAACCCGAATCTTCTGCCCCAAGTATTCTGATTCACATTGCACCCTCTAGATCCTAACTTACATCCCTGCATATGAAACAGAGGTAAAGGTCTAGATTGTTCTGTGGACTTGGGTCGTGCATCATGAAAAGAAAAGGAATAGCAAGAAACCCTTTTCCCAGTCTGAAAACTCCTGTCTTACTTTTAAGGCTGACCTACCAGTTGGGTGACTCAAATGTATCAGTCACCATGTCCAGTTAAAATAGCTTCTGAGATCCATGGCCAGGCACCAGGCTGAGCTCCAGGAATCCAATTGATGAGAGAGAGGAGAGATACTGCAGGCGAGGGACGTCGAGATCATGATGGGAAGACGTGCAGAGATGACTGGCCACACTAGTGGAAGCCCATGAACTGTGGACTGGTGGCTGTGAAGCCCCCATGGGACTGGACTAGACCCTCTGGAGACGGAAGATGGTTGTTTGGCTCGAACTGTTTGGGGGACACCCAGGCAGGGGGATCGGGATCTGTCTATGGGCAGGCTTCTGGAACCCGGTGCCTGTGGTGTGACACCTTGCACAGCCTTCATGCAGTGGGAAGGGGCTTGAACCTGCCTAGGCTCAGTGTGCTGGGCTCTGCTGACTCCCCATGGGAGACTTCGATTTGGGGGATGTGGGGGTGCAGGGTGGCTTGGAAAAGAGGGCTGGGGGGAGGAGAGGAAGGGGGATCTGTGAATAGTATGTGGAGTGAGTAGAAATTTTCTTAATAAAGAAAAAAATAGCTTCTGAACCTCCACTGTGCATGCTTTGCTAAAAAATGGCCAACTCCACACCTGGCTAGGATGGTCAAAATAGGATCATGTGCAAGAAGGAGAGAGTCTGGGACTTGGCTTTTAAAGGTTGGGTCTCAGGGCTTAGGATTTAGCTCAGTGGCAGAGTGCTTGCCTAGCGTGCAGGAAGCCCTGGGTTCTATCTCTAGCACTGTCAAATAGATAAATAAATGCTTTTCAAAAAGCCTTCAATCTTGTGCCTGACACTGTGATTTGGTCCAAATCAGCTTAGATTCCCAGAGCTTTGGTTTCCTCATCTGAAACAGTGGCTCCCAGCATCTACTGGAAGGACAAAACTGGAGGTATATGAAAGATGAGCACACGCACACAATGCAAACAAGCCGTCCACTGTGAATTGCTTGTGAGGTAAGTTGTTACTCTGTAACACAGGCTGGCCTCAAAATTGTGGCAGTCCTCCTGTCTCTGACTCCTGAGTGCTGAGATAACACATATGAATCACTTCTTCCAGCACTACTTAGCAACAGAATCCTGCTTAGAGATTTTGAGATTTTTCTCATAGTTCTCGGTGCTATTAAGCCATCAAATAGTGAAAGGTATGAAGTGGGGAGGGGCGTTTAGTCAGACATAACTGTGGTTAAGACATTTCACAGGCCCACAAGGATCTCTGGGCTTTTCCTAGGTCAGCCTGTCTCATGCTAGAGGCAGTCTACAGAACCACACAACAACCTGACTGAGAAAGCACATCCTTGCCAAGCACGGCCCTGGTGAGTACAGGATTTCCTCTTCCTTCCTTTCAGGTGTCAGGAAGCCCTGGGCAGGCTGTGGCCCTGGATCTGGGCTTCTGTTCACACTGCCATCCATGTGACACACGTTTAGTCATGTATGGTCTTCAGACATGCTCATCCATCCATGTCCGTGCTTGGTGACATGTCCGTGTCCCTCTGCAATCCTAGTTGGGAGGGTACTTGCTGTTGTCTTCAGCATCCCATTCTTGGTTTTCGCACCATGTCAGACTCACCTTCCAACATGCCCCCAAGTACGTTCCCTCTCCCTTCTCTGACTCAGACTTTCTAGGGAACTAAACCACTTCAGGGGCTGCCCTGACCCTCTGTCTCTTTCCTCTTACCTTTACCCTGCAGGACAACAGAGCACTCTGGCATGGGTGGCATCTGTCAGGTCAGATCCCCCACTTATCTGTGTGCTGTGAGGGTCTGTGGGCATCAGAGACCTGCCAGTATCAACCATTCACTCCACTTCCTGCCCACGGGATACTAGGGAAAACACACATTTCTTCCATGTGTTTCCTACTCTACATTCTCAAGTGCTAAGTATGGTGCTTTACTTTCTAGGGCCATTGATCTTGGAGGTGACACAGGGCAAAATAAGGTAGGAGAAAAGCTAGATTTGCTTACATCCTCCCACTAGAAAAGGGGAGTTAGGGCGTCCCGTCAGCCAGGCCTGGGATGCAGAATCTGCCTTCTGCACCTTTTCAGTGCTCAGCACTTCTGCTTCCCAAACAGGACAGTGAGAGAGATCTCAGTGAGTCCGTGCAAACCATGGACAACAGGGAAGGTGGGGGACAGCCCAGCTGGTGACGCACTGGCCTGAAAGGCACGAAGGCCCGACTTTAATCCCCAGAACCTACTTTTTTAAATCAAGAAAACAAACAAAAAACAGTCAGGCGAGGTAATGTGGGCTTGTAATCCCAGCACTGGGAAGGTAAAGACAGGCCGATCTCTGGGGCTTGTTAGCTGGCCAGCCTAGACCAGTCAGAAAGTTCTGGGTCTTGTCTCAGTAAGACCCAAAGCTTGGCAGACTAAAGGAATAACAGCAGAGGCTGTCTTCTGGCTTCCACGTGTACGTGTATTTGCATGCACACTCACATACACATGTACACACACATACACACACACACACACACACACACACACACACACACACACACACACACACTCACATACAAGGTAAGAGCATCCAAAGAAAGCTTAAAGGTAAATGAAAACAGCCGTTTCTATGTTTTGATTAAGAACAAAGGAAGATGAGTACAGCCCTCACTCGAGAAGCTTTTCTTTGTAGTATACAACAACTGACACAGAGACCCTCATGATGGTCCATGCACAGAAAACAAGAGCCTGTGGAGCGGTCAGCCTTAAAGGGCACGTATTCATCACATCCCTCCCATCAAAGCTCCGGTATCTTTGATGAAGTGGGGCAGAGCTGAAAATTTTTAAGAGCCAGAGGCAATGGTAACTTCAAGGAAACTGTTTTCCAGACACAACCTGGCAGTCAGTCGCACTCAGGAACCCACAGTGATTTCTACGGCATGCATAAGAACTGGACCACTTCATGCCACACAGAATCCCAGCAGGGAGAAGGGGAGATGGACATAAAATCCCAATGCCGCTATTGGCCTGTGAGAGCTGCAAAGAGGGGAGAGTCAGTTTCCTTTAAGGATGTGAACCCTGATAGATCGGCCATGCTCTAGGCAGGTCCCACTCCCAAGAGAAGTCAGGCAACATGAACTGGATCAGATTGGGAAGGAAAAGAAAGAAAACTCCAAGTTGGGTAGATGGGGAGGGGAGGGTGTAGGGGGTGGCTATGGGAGGAGTTGGGAGAAGAATGTGATTATGATCAAAATACACCGTATGAAATTCTCAAAGAATAAAAATATTATTTTAAAAAGAACAATGCTCCCCCCATTCTAATATAAGCTTGAAATATCCTGTATGGAAAATATTTGAGGTATTTTTGTTACACTAAGTATTAAAGAAGTTGGATTTTACATAAGCAAACTGGCCTAAGAATTGTGTATGAGAATTTTGGAAGAAGTTATACTCTGTAATGAGTGGTCTGAGGCTTCTATTGAGATCAGTTCTGGCCTGGAAAGGTGATTCAGTGTTTAAAATCCTTGCTATGCAAGCACTAGAATGGGAGTTTGGATCCACAGAACCTCCTTAAATGCTAGGTGGGCATGGTGGCCTACTTGTAATTCCAGGCTTGGAAGGTACACACAGGGACATGGGGGATCTCCAGAGCAAGTTGGCTCATGGAACTAACCCAATCAGTGAGCTCTGGGTTTGATTGAGAGATCCTGCCTTAAAGAATAAGGTGAAAGAGCAAGTGAGGAAGATTCCTGACATCAA